TAATATTCAGCGCTGTGCGCAAAACTTTTCCAATTTGCATATTACAATAGGCAGCCAAAGGAATATAAGTTGCTCTGCTCTTATGCTAGTTCATTTACTTATAAACATATTTACAATAATTTTTTTGATTAATGCTTTCGCCTGGCAAATTTCATTTTAAGCGACGCAGTTTGTCGAGTGTCCTGTGCAGAAAATTGAAAATTTATTATATACGCGCGTTGTCCTGTTACCCTTATACATTGTATCAACGCATGCATAAAGCATATACAATAAATTTTCATTTGTGTTACCAAACAGAGGCAGGAGCAACGACAGCGCCAGCTACAGCAATAAGAGGTTCGTGGGGAGTCGGCAAGAAAGCAAGTTGATTGAATTGACACGACAGCCGTACTCCCAATCCAATCCAGGCGCAAAATAAAAATAAAAAAATGAAGGGAAATAATATAAAAAAAACTACTCACACGCACACACACACACACACGCACGGTGTCTCTTGGCTTCTTGAAGCACACCCACACACAGGCTCACACTCACCTTTGATATTTACGTTTGTTGCGCGGGCAAACCTGCAAAATTGAATGAAAATATTAAAAAAAAAAATAAATAAATAAGAGAATAAAAATAACGTGTACGTACATATGTGCGTGTCTTTGTATATATAATTCAATTTAACTGCGCATTTTTCATTTATTTGCTAATAATTTCATTTATGCGCAAGCGGCGCAAACTTAAAAATGCGTAAAAGGCGTCCAAATTTTATTACGCGCTGACATTTAAAAAATCAGACCCTCACCGCCCCGCCTAAAAGTTGGAAACAGTTTTTTCCCCTCCGACTGCCTTTCGCTTTCAGCTCGGCTTTTTATACCCTGAACCCATTCCAATCAGGGTATAATGGTTTTGTGTAAATGTATGCAACATGCAGAAAGAGCTATGCATATGCACATCTTATCTTCGCTAGATTAAGGGTATCTCCGAGACGGGCAAGCCCGACTGAAGCATTCTTGCTTGTTTCTTTTGCTTTTCAACGTATGCCTTTGTTGCTTCAGCTATTGGCCCTGAAGCGTTGACTTTCCTGAATGCTGCTCAAATTGAGGAGTTACTTATAATACATTTTCAAAGTTTAGCTCAGTTGAGTGTACAAAATGTAGAAGCACCACAACAATACCTGTTGCTTGGCTCCCAGGCTAACGACAGCCGATCCCCAAACAATTTAATGTGGGCCCCACTCTTAATATATTCATCTCCCAGGGGCTACCTTCACTCAGCAGCTTTTCCATTCTTCTGGCTTGCTCGATGCTCATTAATTTTATCAAGTGTCGCGGCTATATGCTCGACTATATCAAATGGTTTTCAGCATGCGAGGCGACATCCACATCGCCCCTCCAGCTGTTGGCCCCAAACCTGAAAGGTCAACGTTGAGTAGGAGCTGCCTGCACTTTAAAGCTCTGCGTCGTTGCGGCCGGAGCTAGGGCACGTGTGGCACACGCTGGTTGACACCAGTACAGCGGGACTTGGGGCAAGCAGGTATTGAGTTTTTGCGGTTGGCTTCACTGCCATTTGATGCACTTAAAGTAACAGTAAACATGTACACTGCTTGCAAATCTGACAGACACATCAGCAACATGAAGCTAAAAGGTCGCCCGCTGTCGCAGTTGCTTATCGCTGCAAATACGAGTAGAAATGATAGCAGCGGGAAGACGGAGAGAAAAGAACGAGCACTAAGACAATTCCACTAAACCCATCAATTCCAACGATAAATAATTCTTGGGATTCAGCGGAAATTGCGTGGAAATAGAAATGGAAACTCGAAAATAATTGATGATAACATCTTATACCAGATGGGCGATATAAAAACGTTAGCCCAATTATACGCAAACTTATACTTAATAACCATGATAACTTTCTTGACGATGCAATAAATTAATAATATACTTAAAATATAAGCCTTCTATGTGATTCTCAAAAATGTAAGTAAGATTAAGATTGCTTGTATGTTATTTGTATGCATACACGTATTTATCTATGAATAGATGTCCTTTTATACCAAAAACATCTTCTGGTATTTCACTAAATTTTGTAATATATACAATTAATCCACAAGTCTAAGACTCGAAATTATTTGAAACTTAAAACAATTACTTACATTTAAGAAAGGTTTAAGTTCTTTATGTGAAATGCAATAAATATAAATTGCAAAGACGATGAAGTCATAATGAGAACAAAGTGCTGCTATTAATTTAAATTACATGTGTTAATATCAATCGGTTAAAGCTTTGACTTCTTCCAACTTAATTTCGATGCTGCAATTGCAATTTAAGTGCACAAAACAATTTAATTGACTGCTTAATAAATTGCTCTTTTACTGGAACGTGCTTTTGTATTTCATTTGTCAGCAACCGTAAATATTCATTTATCAAGAAGCTCACTTCATTTGGCTCCGAAAACCATCTACAACTATGCCGGATGCATGGCACAGTAGGTTTTTACCTATGCTGTTTGCAGCACAAGGCAAGCACACTTACACACACACAGATAGAACACAAGCTGCAAACAGGTCACAAAGGCCACCGATGCGACTTTGTTGCAATGGCAATGCAACTGACTGCTTGGGCTGCTTGACTGACTTTGACAGGAGCAACAGCAACTGGACTATAAAAAAGATACTGCCATGTGTTATGTCCACTGTGTCTCTGTGTGTGTGTGCCTGTGTGTGTGTGTGTGTGTGTGTGAGAGAACTGTGTCACGCCTTTATTTGCTTATAAAACAGACCAGAAACAACGACAAGCTGTTGTTGTTATTCTTGTTATTATTGCAGTTGCTGTGCCTGTTATTATATCTGGCTTTGTTCATAAATGTATCGCACTATCTCCTTTTGTACTGACGTCTGCGTGTGTATGTGTGTGTGTGTGTGTCCCAGTGTTTGCGTAGCTTCCTGTTGCATGCTTGACTTTTGCCTGAACATTTCCGTTTCCTTGCATTTTATATTCCGCACACATTTAACATCGTTTTTTTGGTTGTCAACTTGACAATGTTTGCCCCCTTGTCCAGTTAACTCAAAGAACTTTTAAATGCCAAAATATTTTGATTCCCAAACAGATTCCAAGAAGCTTAAAATTTGTGCATCTTATACAACTCGCTAAAATTGTTATAGCACACCTGTTGCAAGCCTTACATGCATAAGTAAAATATGCAACACAGGTTAAATGTATTCTCGTTGGCATTTGATAACCCTCAATGATTACACAGTTGCAAGCAAACAAACCGCTTCTGAGAAATGAAATCTGAGTACGATATTCAAGTACATAAGTACGCTGGATTAGACTGGTCTTATGGCATCCGCTTCTGTTAGAGACAAAGATTGGCCGCTCTATTGCATTCAAGGGACTAGTATAAGAATTAAATATTACATATGTGTTAAAAGATTATGTTTGATTTTGAGGTGATACGGTGATATGTATTTCACTAATAGTCGCGAATTAAAGGACAATAAATGCCAAACTAGTGTTTTGATAATATGCCTTGCCAGCCCTGCTTAACAGCGTACCATGCATAGATGTTGAAACTCTGATTGCCAGCTCAGGCAAAAAAAAAAAAAAGCATAAACATGTATTGATATCGATATTGTTATCATCAGCCATAATTTGTTGCCACGGCATTATTGCGCACAAAAGCAAAAACGTTCGCATATATTGCGGTTGAAGCAGCCAATTTGCTAAACGTCGTTCGTTGGTGGCGCTGCTGGTGTTAGGTTTCTGCCTTTATCAGCTCGAAATTGGCCAATTTATTGCATTTTTTATACATCGAGGCTGTACGGTTTTGTTATGTGTGCGGTTTCGGCCATTAAAATGCGATTTCGTTTCGTTTTCTAGCAAACAAAAGCGCTACAGGTGCAGTACATTGAACCAGCCCCCAAACAGCAGCTCAAAGGAAAAGGAAATTGCTTACCGTTCAAATGCTCAGCATCAGTTACCGTTCTATTTTTAGTCGGGACATTGACTGTATTCTAGGGAATTGCTGGAAGCATGACTGCAAGTTCAATGCACACACGTATGTAGTTTAGAGTTTGCAAATCACCGCTTGCCAGCAGGTTAATCCCCTCAAAAGGTTGATTAGCCTCTGAGGACGCAATAAAGCGGTTATTTTTCATCTGATGCGAACTTTCAAATGTCTAAAGATGTCGCGCGTAATATTCGCTCGATAAATGCTCTCGATAACAAAATGACGAGCGCATTGGTGTATTTATGTCAAAATAAAGTTTGGTATTTTAGTGCCATTTTCGGCACACCATATGGCGAACAGCTGTTAGTAGGTGATCTGTGAGTAAGCACTTGAGATGTTCGAAGTAGGTAAATCACATTAAATAAAACTAAACACAGTTTGCCTTGTTTTGGATTTTATAGCAGACAAAGAACATATTCAAAATGGCTGAGGAGAGTTGGAAAGAAGCCGGCGACTGGAGGGACTCACCCTTTTTTATCGTTCTTTACGAATACACGGTGAAGAATGCCGGTATGCCCACGGACATGGGAACATTAATTGCCTATGTATTGCTTTTTCTTGTCACTTGGTATGTGCTTCTCTGGACGGCACGGGTCGTGCTTTCGCTTATCTGGCCTGTGATCATCGTTGTATCTGCGCTGTTCCTGTTTCGCTTTCTTCGCACTTTCGAACAAGACGATCTGTTGGATATGTTATTCCAGGCTTTAGCCTTAATGACGGATGCAGCATTAGCGGTTATATCAAAGACACTCGACTTTTTGTTGGGCCTGTTGCACTGAATGTGCATCAGTAAGACTTGGTTTGCGTCTATACATACATTCCCAAATTTTTGTAAATACGTTTAAACTTAAATTAATGAAAAGTCTTGTTTTCATTATAGGCTCCAAATTGTACATTTTGAAAATATAGTGGTATGCTAATTGTTATTGTATTGGTATTTTTTTTATTTTCTAATTCCGTGAGATTTGGTCACATTAGAAGCCCGGCAAATCGTTGCAATTTCATCAACAAAACTAAATTGACCATTTTGAGAAAACGGCAAGTATTAAATATTTAAACTAATAGAAATGATGAGGTTCGAACTTTATTGAAAAGTTTAAGTGCATGTTAACTAGCGCTGACGACCAAAATATTTCTTAATATCAAGTTGAAGAACAAGCAGCTAAAATAATAAAGCACTTATTTTTAGCTTTTCATGTGGTGCCTTGAAAAACACGTCGATCCGCATCTGTTGAGCAAATTTAGTGACACTGATAACAAATCAAAAAAATCTTGTGAGTTGTACGGCAAAAAAATACATGTTCTAAAAATATTCGGCGGTCGTGGGAAACTAAAATAAAAACTTTCTTGTTTAGCTATTCCAGAATGCCAATTATACGTTTGGAATCTTCCGATAAGGAAATTTTTGATACCGATATCGAAATAGCCAAATGTTCGGAAACTATTAAAACGGCACTTGAAGATTTGGGTGACGAAAGCGACAATAGTGTGCTACCCCTGCCCAATGTTAACTCGACTATATTGCGCAAGGTGCTCCACTGGGCTACCTATCACGCCCAAGACGATCCGCAGCAACCCCAGGAGGATGAGAACAAGGAAAAGCGCACAGACGATATTTCATCCTGGGATGCTGACTTTCTTAAAGTCGACCAAGGCACCTTGTTTGAGCTCATTCTGGCCGCTAATTATTTGAACATCCAGGGCCTATTGGATGTCACCTGCAAAACGTGCGCCAATATGATCAAGGGCAAGTCACTTCAGGATATTCGCGAGACGTTTGCCATAGCCAATGACTTTTCTCCAGCTGAGGAAGAGCAGGTGCGCAAGGAGAACGAATGGTGCGAAGAGAAATAATAAGTGAGCGCAGTCTTTAATAGGGAAGTTCCTTTATTGTAACTGTTCCCAGATTTAAAAATTTTCATTAATTATATTGTTTGTTGACCTTCGTATTGAAATATGCATTACTCTTCGTTTTGGGTAAATTTTGTTGTTTTTTTTTTTCATTTTAGAATCAAAACAATAACTTCCATATACATTTACATACATGTCGGCTAATTTTCGAATCAGAAAATCACTAACTGCAATATCTAGATGGCGCTATCGTGTTACAAATTTAGCCCTACCAACCCTTCTTACCGCGTGACTGCTGGTATTTTTCCCATGCAAAGTATGTTTTTTGCTGCTCCCAGAACACGGTCACACTGCGGTTGAATTCGCCAAAAAAAAACTAACTAAACTAAATTTTTGATCTGGATTGGCGCATAGCAAATAAATTTGCAGTATAATTCTCGAAATTTTCTGTGAAATTGCATATTGACGCCGCATATAAACGCAATTCTAAAGTTGCGTGACAAAAACATTGAAATACACAAACATATTTTGTTGGTGAAAAAACAGGCGGCGGCGGCGGCGACGCAACACACGCGACTTGCAAGCAAAACACGGCGAGGAGGACGACGACAAGACCAAGTGGCTTGGCTCTGTCTGAGTGTGCGTGTGTGTGAGTGTGTGCGTACGTGCGTGTGTTTGTGTATGTACAACTCGAGGATAAATTGAGGCACAATAATAACAATGGACGTATACGACATAAGCGACGATCTGATCAAAAAGCTCAACGACTGGAAACTGATTGGCATCATATCCGGCAAATTTAATGAGCTCAAAGAGAACTATTCTAAGGTGAACTTCGTTGAACATGCATTGATTGACTTCAAGTACATGGAGAAGATATTCCTAAATGTAACGCTACGCGAGAACAAATGCAACAAGCGGAGCGTCGAATTCCGCATGCTGGGCAACGAGCAGTTTTCCCTAAAGAACAGGAAATACTTTCAGGCAAGTGGGCCAATAGGTTGTCAAAGCTGAAAATGGATATGCTTTTAAAATTCTGTTCCATATGTAATTTGTAAATATTATCGATTTTGATATCTGATTACACTTTACACATTTTTAAAAGCATTCCACATAAAAAATACCCAAAAAATACTCTTGAACACAAACTGATCTGGTTACTCTGCTACTTATCGATAGATTAACATAAATTAGTTGGCGGGAAATTTAAATTTTGCTTATTTTTTATATTCATGTTCAAGTAGTGATGAAAATGATTTTCTCTCCATAGGCGCTCGAATTGTACAACAAGAGCATTTGTTATGCGGAACCAAACTCGGAAAATTTGTCGATTGGATATGCCAATCGCTCGGCGGTCTTCTTTGAGTGGAAACGTTATCGCGAATGTCTGGCCAACATTGAGCTGGCGCGCAAGGCCAACTATCCAGAACGTCTGCGTCATAAACTGGACAAGCGGGAGCGTGACTGTCAGCAGTTGGTGCAGCAACAGCCTCCAGATATTGTACCGTACGGCTTCAAGTTGAACTTCGAGGCACATCCGCAGGTGCCGTTCATAGCTAACTGCCTGGAGATGCGTGAAACGCCCGATGAAGGCAGATTTATAGTAACCACGCAGGATCTCGTCGTTGGCGATGTGGTTGCCGCTGAGCAGCCCTTCTGCTCCTCGCTGCTAGCGCCCATGCGATACATCAGGTGCGCCACCTGTAAAGAGGAGCGCTACCTAACGCTTATACCCTGCGACAGCTGCTGCTCGGTCATGTTCTGCTCGGAAGAGTGCAAGCAGCGTGCCAACAGCACTTTCCACAAATACGAGTGCCCCATCATTGACCTATTGCATCGCATGTTCAACAAAATCCACTGCATTGCGTTGCGCACAACGTTGAGCGCCCTGGATCTATATGGCAGCATTGAGGATCTGATGGCCTACTGTGAGCAGCCGCAGAATCAGCACAAGTGCGTCTTCGATCTGGACTATACGCAGCTAACACCCCAGGAACATTACCGGGCCATACACGGCCTGGTAACGAATCAACAGCTGCGCTCCGTTTCGGATCTATTTCAGCGTTCGGTTGTCTGCGCCGTCCTTAAGCACTTCATAATGGAGTATACGCCGCTGAAAGATTATCTGGGCGGCGAGGAGGGTCGCAACTTTTTCACGGATCTACTGTTTAGACATTTACAAACATCACCATCAAACATGCATGGCATAGATCTCGTCGAGCAGGCGAACGAGACAAAGGACGATCAGTCGCATTCATCCGGCGCCTATGCGTTTCTCTCCCTGCTAAATCACTCGTGTGCACCCAACACGCTGCGCATCTATGAGGGCGTCAAGGCCTATCTGTTTGTGCTGCGGCCCATCAAGGCCGGCGATGTGCTCTACGATAACTATGGGTAAGAAAATAAAATAAATTTGATGCTCGTAGAAATAGATTTAATAAAATTCAATTTCTCTTTTGCCAGCGCTCACTTTGCCGTGTTTAGCAAGAAACAACGCCATGAGACGTTGTCCATGCAGTATCGCTTCACCTGCAAATGCGAGGCGTGCGAATTGGACTATTTGACGTATAAAAATTTGCCGTTCAAGGCTTCGGTGCCGCAGTTGACCAGTGACACGGACTTGAAGTTGTTGGGTGCCTATAACTATGATTTTGCGTTGACCAATTATCAGAAATACTGTGATTTTCTGACGCAATACGCAGCCGCTTTTCCCTGCGCCCAGATCAGTTCGGCCGAGGAGTGTCTCAAAATGGCACTGCATATCATGGTGGATGCGGTGCCGCTTAAGGCGAAAATGTAATGTGTCTGGGACACAATGCACTGACTGCCTCGCAACCCGCCATCCCACCCACCACCACCACCACCAGCTCCCAAGACACAGCGACGAACTACAAATATGTATATCTGGACGAACAAGCAGTAATTATCCCCCATCTCCCCCTAACTATAATTTGGTTGCCATAAGTTTCCAGCATTTTGGCAGCTACGGCAGTTGTTGATTTTAATTGGCATGCAAACAGACAACACAATTCTTTAATATTTATATACTTGTGAACTTCTATTTCCGATTTGTCTTTCTTGAATTATTTTGTTCTATTGTTTTGCAACACTTCGCACACGAAATGATAGACAGAATTTTTAGGTCGTTTTCCCGCTTTGCCAGCGGCTCGGCCGCAAATACAAAGAAAATTTAGACAACTAGGTCGCAAGCTCAAAATTTTTGTAATGTTGTTGAATCACCAATGTCTTCGAAACTGCAAAATGAAAAAGAAAACACTTTTTTGTAATTATTTTACAAACAAATACAATATTTTTTAATTATGCATTACATGCTTGATCTCATTTTACGATAGATGGCGCTCTTTCAGTATGCCATAGTATTCTTCTTTTTTCACAGCTTATTCAGGGCATTTTGCTGTACAAATCAAGCAATTGCTGTTTGAGCACGCCCCCGTTGCGACTCGCTGTGTTGACCACCTCATCGTCTGCTCTACTGTTGCCAGTCACCAGCTGGACAAATTCACAGCCGGAGGCATTGGGATTACGCTGCGCCTGTGACGTTGCTGCCGCCGCATTGTTATCCGTGTCTGTAAACAAAATGCTAGAGAATGTTTGCTCGAACTGCCTCTGGACTTGGCGAGCATCCATGGGCTGCAAATCCTCGCCGGTTGGGGGCGACGACGGATTAATGTTGAGCTGCGCTGCCAGTTGATCTATGCGATTGGGCTCCCGCTGCTGCTGCTGCGCCAATTCGCTGCTTTTAATGTAGATATTGTCCCCAATGCATTGGGCATATTCCTGATAATGGCACTGATCTACTTCGGCCAAAAAACTGCCATCCATGTCCTGAAAGCCAAGCCGAATCAGCAGCGATATCTTTGTATTGAAGCACTGCAGCCAGGCCCTGTTGGTGCGATAAATGGACAACTGTTGCTGCTCGCCGCAGGCATTCCAAAAATCCAGCAACATATTCTTGCTGAAATCAATGAGCATATGTTGCTTCGCGTCCGGATACATCCTGTTTATGGCATCCAAGTGGCGGAACGTTATGTCTAGCAAATGGTGCTGGTGGCGCGAGACGAACAGCTGCCACTTATACATCATGGTCATCAGATTCCACAGCTTCTCCATGGACGTTTCGTCGAGGCGCATCAGCGAACAGGTGGTTATGTCCTTCAACATGAACTTGCAGTGATCCGCGGTCAGCAGCTGGGCGTTGCCGTGCATGGATCCATTGATAAGGGATTCAATGAACTTGGGCTCCAACAGCACCGACGTCACATCGTGCATAACTGGAAAAGTGTGAAGGGGCTGGACTGGCTCTTCATTTAATATTTAAATTAACAAAATTTTACCTTGAACGGATTTTTCGGTCGCAATTTGCTGCGCCTTCAGGCGCTGGTCAATTACGTACAACGCCTCACAGCCCAGATTGACCAGTATGAATACATTGGCGCGCGGATTGAGTGCTTGTCGTGTGGACATTTGAAAGGACCTGACCCGCTGGCAACTTCGGCGCTCGAATGCTAAATGTTAACTAAGTCTGGACAGCTGCCGCCTGCGAGCTGAGTCCTGCACGCGACCAACCACGAACAATTCTCACATACATTTATTTTATTGGATTTTTCGTTTCCGTATTGCCGGACGGAGGGGCACGAGGGTATCCTGTGGCGACGGTGACGGCGACGACGATGTTTGGCTGGTTTATGAGAACCCCGGCAACGTCTTTTATCGCCACGATAACTGAAAATAAAAATAATAGTCGATGGCTCAAATACCAACTAGTAGGCTATCTTTTCATAATATAAAGCAAACAATTTGACATATGGCTCTGTCCTATCTATTAACTCTTTAAGCTAAATGCTGATTGTATTTGTAAGTTAAACAAAAGTAGAATTTTGCCAGCTCTTAATTACTAACATTTAGCTTACCGATGAAACGGCAAAGTTAATATACCCCAACCTGCGCAGCGAGCGTGCCATGTATAATTATGGCAGTAACAGTGCTGGAGTGGGGAATTTAGACATGAAGTTTTCCTAGCCGTCTGTCTGTCCCATAGTTATTGATTTCTGTTTATTTTGCAAAACTAAACGTACATTTTGACGTGTTCGTTTTTGTTGTTGCACAGTTTATAAAACAATTACGCCGATTACGAAATAATGGCAGTCGATTAATATGTTGCGTAAATTCATATTTCGCTTAAATATTCCCTGTATATTATATTTTTTGAGAACCGCCAATCGCTGCAACGCCCACAAATTGCATTTTTATGCTAATGCAATATTCAAATTGGTGGTGGTTAAAGTTTGGGTCAAGTGGTTGCTCTTGTGGTCGCAAGTGTGCTTGAAGGAACCCTCAAACACCTGTACTGCTTGGGCGGTGCACGGAAAAGGAAACCGGAAGTTGCGTGGTTGCCTGCACAATGCAATTAGTGCACGGCATAAAGTTCATGATTTTTAAACTTGGCGCGCAGCAGTCAAAAAGTGATAAAAATGCAAGGCGGTCACACTTATAATCGGTCAGTATTTTCTGATTATATGCAATAGATTCTTATAATGCGAGACGATTGATTAACAACGATTAATTAAATAAAATAAATGGGTTTCTATGTTAAAAGAATACATTTCATAACATAATTTTAGCATACTAAATCGTTTACCTCTTAAGTTTGCAACACATCAAAAGTTTTGACAAATTTAAGCACACAGTGGGAACAATAATATGTTATATGGAATGCTGTCTGGTGGAAACAGTTCAGCCGGCGTAATAACAAAACAAAAAACTGATGTAAAATTTCGTTTGTTCAGATTAGTAAAAACAAAAAAAGAATTTTAAAAAAATACAAAATTATGTTGCGTAAAACTCTACCCAGCTGGACAAGGCATTCGCTGTTGTGCCGTCAAATGTCCGTAGTCGCCAAATCGCTGAAGTACTCACAGCACGGCGAGCCGCAGGATGTGCTGAAACTGGTGGAGGATAAGCTGGCGGATCCCAAGGACAAACAAGTGCTGGTCAAAATTCTAGCAGCGCCCATTAATCCCGCCGACATTAACACTATACAGGGCAAGTCTGCATGGATGCTTAGATTAATAATCATCTTATATAAACATTTATGCTCAAATTGCAGGCAAATATCCCGTGAAGCCAAAGTTTCCGGCCATAGCAGGCAATGAGTTTGTGGGAGAGGTCATCTGTGTGGGCGACCAGGTGAAAGGCCTGCAGCCAGGTGCCTATGTGATTCCGCTGGCTTCTGGCCTGGGCACCTGGACAACACACGCTATCTACACCGAGGATCAATTGCTTGCCATTTCCAGCAAGGTGGGCTTGGCAGAGGCGGCAACAATAACAGTGAATCCCTGCACCGCCTATCGCATGCTCAAGGACTTTGTGAAGCTATCGCCTGGCGACACGGTCATACAGAATGGCGCCAACAGCGCTGTGGGTCAAGCTGTGCATCAACTGTGCTGTGCGTGGGGTATCAACAGTGTGGGTATTGTCCGCAATCGACCGGAAATAAGCGAGCTGAAGCAGATGCTTCAGGGTCTGGGCGCGACTGCTGTGCTAACCGAGGAGGAGATGCGTACGAGCGACCTCTTCAAGACTGGCAAACTGAAGCGTCCCCAGCTAGCCCTCAATTGTGTGGGTGGCAAGAGCGCAACTGAGGTGTCGCGACACCTGAATGATCGCGGTGTTATGGTCACCTATGGCGGCATGTCCCGCGAGCCTGTTACCGTTGCCACAGGTCCACTGATCTTCAAGGACATTGCATTTAGGGGCTTCTGGATGACGCGCTGGTCCAAGGAGAACTACAGCGCACCGGAACGAACGCAAATGTTTAAGGAAATCTGCCAGCTGATGGAGCAGGAAAAGTTTGTGGCCCCAACGCATGAGATGGTGCCGCTAGAAAAATTCAAGGAGGCCGCGGCTGCCGCGCTTAATTTCAAAGGCTTCACTGGCAAGAAATTCATCCTGGACATGACATGTTAAATGTGATTTTTATGTTATCTATGTAAATTTTAGTTGAAAATCAGCTTTTCAATTGCTTTTATATATGCGGAATGACGCTTCCCAATAAGTTACATAAACGGGATTGGGTATTTTTTTAAAAAGATAATTCTGTTTCAATTCAGTGACGTGCAATTAGATTTGAATATTTCTTTATTTTATTTGCAATTATAACATTTCAACCTCATTGGCCTGGTACTTGAGCTGCAGCGCAATGGAGGTTGGCGATGTAGCATCAGTAATTGTCAGCTGCTGCCCATCCTGCAAGCCAAGCTCGCCCAGTGACTGCGTCAAATTCTTGCGCGTGGCCTCTTCAATGCTTTTCACGTTGGCCATGTACAGAGTGCGCTGCTTGCCATCGGGCATGACGGTGGTGAGCGCTGGGCTCTTGAGCTGAAAACGCGGCGATTCGCATAATTGCTTGATAACATCCTCCAGGGTTGTCGTATTGGGATCCTCAATGTTCAGCAATTGGAGCGTGTTGCTGCAGGCCAAGCAGCCATCCGACTTTTCCGCCTCATAGGTGTACGAATAAATGCCATCCAGATCGTTGAAGTTGAAATAGTTGGACATGCTATCGTAGCAGCTGGTGGCCAGCTTAAACACCTCCAGGGCGCAGGCGGCGGCAATGACCGCATTGGTGCTGGCCACCGCCGGAATAATATGCTTGATGACGCCCTGCACCAGGCGATACGTGACGCCGCTTATATTAAACTGATTGGCACGCTCCTGAGCACGCTCATATATCCAGCCAATGTGCAGCGGATCATCGCCGTCCAGCGGCGCACTAAAGGGGCTCTCCTTGTCCCATTGTATTATCTTCACATACTCAATGCAGTGCTCCGGCAGACGCGGCGTGTTTGCGATCGTGCACAACGGATAATTAACCTGTGGCGGAAACAGGTCCAAGGTGCACTCAATGCAGGCAGTAAAGCCGGGCAATATGACACGTGCATTGCCCTTGAATCCTTCGGTACCACCGTCTATCATTGGTATAATCGAGGATACGTCAAGGCTGTTGTCGTCATCGTAGCGCAGCATAGAGAGCAGCATGCCGTTGATCCAGCGGCGTGCCACTATGGAGTCCAGACCGCAGACAATGATGTGGAACTGTTGGTAGAATGTCTCATCGAAATCCTGTATCTTGGCAAAGTGTGGCGTCACCCTACATGTGGGTATACGATTATTAATAAAGCGGGCGGCGCATTCCGCCTTCGATGATCCAATATCTGTGCGCCGAAACAGAAACTGACGATTCAGATTGGACAGCTCAATGGTGTCCATGTCAATCACATGCAAATCACCAAAACCCATCAATGCCAAATCTTTGAGCAGCTCACAGCCCAATCCGCCGGCGCCAATGATGAGCACTTTGGATTTCGTCTGGAGAAAATCCAGATTGTCCGGCGACGGCGAAAAATCATCCTTGCAAAAAAGACCCTCACGCTCCAGGATATGCCGCAACCCATTCCACCGTTTGCTTTGTAGCGCTAAAGCGGGATTGGAAGGCGAGGCAACTGACATTATTCTGACGAATCCAATTTCTGAATCCTCGAGTGCAAATAAATGAAAGCGGCAAAATATTGGTTATATTTAGTCAAATTGTTCAAAAAGTCCTAAATAATGCTTATTAAATACCAAAAATAAAATACTGTAATGTTTTAGCAATTAAATATATGGTCAAAATGGTAAAATAAGAAAATCAGCCGTCAGAACGCCTAGTTTTTTATTAAAATTAAAACGAGACATAGTTACACGATACGCCACATGCATTTTTGTAAAGGAAAAGTGAACGTTCGACTATAAATAAATTAAGATTTTAAATTTATCGAATACTGCTAAGCTATCGATTTTACTAATCATATTTAGTTTAAACGATAAGAAAACTATCGGTTATCGCACACATCTACATACAAATTTAAAACAACGGCACTTCAATCGAAGAAAAAGTCGCGTCCTTTGTAGCGTGCTTCCTCTTTGCTGTACTTATTGTTGTAAATAAGATCAAATTCGGAAAAAAGGAAAATTAAGGTAGTGAGAGTGAAAGAAAAGTGAATGAAATTTTAGTAAATTGTTGCGCTTTTAAATATAATTAAATTGCTGCAGTCAATTTGGCGCGCACTCATCTAAAATGACGCTCTCCGTGTTGGCGTCGTTCGACGATCTGCGACGTTGCATGCAAGTGCTGACCGAAGGAACCGCTGAGGAGGGTGAGTCCACGTAGTAGCAAGTAATACTGTAACTCGTATTGGTATTCCCCACAGAATTCCTGCGCTTCTTGCGCTTGTTTGAACAGTACCACGAGAAATGCAATGGCTACGCCACACAAAATGCGCGCCTACAAACAGAACTGGACAAATCGCTGGCTAAGATGGGCGATCTGGAGGGCAAGCTGTATCATGCGCGTCGCATCATTGATACGGAAATCAAGGCGCGGCGTCTGGCGGAGCACGAGCGCGACGCCATGGAAAACAAGATAATGGCCGTAGCCGATTTGCTGCGCCACGAACGAAATCTGAACAACGAGACGCGCGATAAGTTGGCTTTTCTAAATACGCTGCCTTCGGCCTCGACGCGCAAGCGCAAATCCCTAAATACACTGCACGAGGACAAGTCATATGGCGACATTAATTCAACAGGCTCTTTGCTATCCGATTTATCTATAACACATTCTGAGGATGATTTTCTCGATGTGCGTCGCTCCAAGTCTTGGCGTGAGCACCGTCCGTCATTGCCCAAAAACCCTGTGCCGTGTGTGGGCACTAAACGCTCTCGTCTAAGTACAGGCCACAATGGCAGCAACGTTGGCACACCAACCACTGGCACCGTCAGCGCCACAACGCATCGCTCGGGTCACGTGGATCAGCACACATTGGATGTTGGCCAGGGTGCTGAGCGCTTCTGCGCCACCACTAAGGTGACGATACCACAGGATGGCCAGGGTGTCATACGCGCCGAGTCTACCATTGAGTCGCTGCCCGTGATTGTGTCTCATGAACGCGTTGCCGATGTCCAGACTACCTCAACGCCGCGTCGTTCGGGCGTCAAAGAGCCCACAGCGCCGCCGCAAACGCCTCTTAATAATGCCATGGCTGTGGGCATGTCGCCGGCGCAGAATCGTCTCTTAATGCGGAAGCACAGCTTTAGCCAGAAGACCTTTTTGCGTGGCGACAACTGTGTCCAGTGCCAAAAGCGGTACAGTCAAACATTTAAAGTTCACTACCCTCAATAGAAATTTGACATTAATTTTAATATCTTGCAGCATTCGCTTTGGTTCGGTGGGATTGCGCTGTCGTGACTGTCCGGTGCGCTGTCACCTCGACTGTCGACAGCTGCTCACCGTCAGCTGTGTGCCGCAGTCGGGCACGCCCACGGCGAAGACGGAGATGCATTATCTGAGCGACTTTGCGCCAGCAACTGCGCCCATGATACCTGCACTGATTGTGCACTGTGTCAACGAGATTGAGGCGCGTGGTCTTAGTGAGGTGGGCCTCTATCGCATGTCGTCGTCGGAGCGCGAGTACAAGGCACTGAAGGAGCAGTTCCTGCGCGGCAAGGTGACACCCCATTTGGGCAATACGGACATCTATGTGCTGTGCTGTTGTGTGAAGGACTTCTTGCGCACGTTGCGCGAACCACTCATACCCACGAGCCAGTGGAAGGACTTTGCCAATGCTGTGCAAAATCCAGACAACAAGCTGGCCATAGAGTCTCTCTATCAGGCAGTGGAGCAACTGCCGCCCGCAAATCGCGACACTATGGCATTCCTAATGCTGCATTTCCAGCGCATTGCCGATTGCCCAGTCGTAATGATGCCCATAGATAATATATCTAAGATATTCGGGCCCACAATTATGGGCTATTCGTCGCGGGATCCTGATCAGCATGCTCTATACACAGAAGTCTTTACGCAAACGCAAGTAATGAAAGCACTGCTCGAGTTACCCGGCACTTTTTGGCAGCAGTACTTGGCCTTCGAACCATCACCACCGCTGGTACCTCCTGGCAGCGGTGTCAAACGTGTACCCAGCAACAACAGGGATCTGTTCTCGCTATATGGTATTTACTGTTATTCACATAAATATATATATATTTTATAATGCTTCCTCTTATTTTCGCCAGCTACGCCACTTAAGGGCACTATGAAGAAGCGCAAATTTTACGGCACTCCCCCAATGTCTGCGCATAAGAAGTAGGGGATCAGCATCCGTTCCCATCCCCGAATGATTAGATATTATCTTATGCATCGCTGGCGTGCTTACTTAATCTACAAGTATTTCAATTTTTTTCTTTTGTTTGCACTAGCTGTGAGTTTATAGTTTTATAGAACTGCTCCTGAAATGTTATTACAGACTTTGAATACTGTTTATACATACGATTGCATTGATTCAATACTTAACAATTTGTCAACTAAGAATTCTCAACTACATTCGTTCTATTTTGGTAATCAATATTATATTTGTATAATAAAAAAACAAGTCTTTAGATACACTAAAATTATACGAATTTCAACTGCATTTTTATTATTTAATGTAAGTAAAAGTTGAGTTAAAGTAAAATTTTATACGCATGGATTTGTATATACATTTACTTATATAACAATTTAGTGGGTTTTAAGGTTCACCTGACTTGGCCATATTACCACAGACAGCTCCCAATCTCTAAACGAATCACTAATAAATTTTTGTATAATATACTTTTTACAGATTAGGGTAGTACAAACAAGTTAGAGCTGTCTAGTCTGGTGTGTAAGTCTAGGGTATACCCTTTACCTAGCGCCGAGCTGATGTCATGTTCGAACTGCAGCAGCTGTGCTTTTCCCTTTGTCCCATATTGGGGAATGCATGCTTGAATTACTTCAGTCTTTATTGTCCGATCTTTATGATAGGCTTAGATTATAAAAAATATATTTTTTTTGAACATTATTATTATCTTTGTGTCTTTTTAGTGTAGAGGGAGCCGTGGGAAGTGTGGAATTAGACTCTTTGGGGGAGGTCAACCGGGTGTGTTCTTTTAGCTGTCTTGGTGGCAAGATTTTTTGGGTGGTTGCCTAGTCTGGCGATGTAGCGATCACTCAACTTGGCAATTACCTCTTTTACCCAAGGAATATATAGAAGGCTGTGAATTGTGATATTTTCATGGTATATATGCGCGTTAGATAAAATTCGCAGAGCTTTATTTTGAAACCGCTGAATAATGCTCCTGCTGGCGGTACCCAATAGATGGATTCTGTAAGTCCATGTTGGCTTGATAATTGATTTATAAATAAACAGCTTGACGCAAATATTCAATTTGGACTGCCTGCCGATCAGCCAGTAATATTGTTTCAGCTTGCCTGCTTCCTTCCACAATATGTTCGGGCCATGTCAGCCGTCTGTCGAGGGTCATGCCTAGTTAATTGTTCGTTGTGCTCACCGGAAGTTTCCTTTGCGCAGCGTGAAAGTGATATGGGTGGATTTTTCCTGGTTGACCGCGATTTTCCACCTTTTCAGCCAGCTGTCCAGGGAGTTTAATTGACGCTGCATAATGGAGGACGCGTACTGCGGTGTGTTGGCCGTTGTAAAGAAAGCAGTATCATCCACGTACGTGGCGACCAAGAGGCTCTAATCCGAGCCGAGTATATCAGTGGTCCCAGAACGCTCCTTGTGGGACTCCGGCTCTGATGCTCTGTATAGACAAGGTGGCGTCACCGCACTTGGTGTAAAATTGTCTGCAGGAGATGTAGCATTTGAGAAATTTAAAGTAGGATGCTGGTAAGTTTGCCTTGAGTTTGTGCAGTAGACCGGGGTGCCATACCCTATCAAAGGCTTGGTTCACGTCGAGCATGACCGCACATAAAATTGAACTAGTTGGTTACTATCCCAATTTAAAAATTAACAACACTGCAAGCAAAAACAATCGATTTTAATAAAGTGTTCGTAAATATCGGCTAAAATATATCGATAGTTAGCTTAAAAGCGAGAAATATTTAATTGAATGTAAAATAAAAACAATCAACAAACAATTCATATTTGTATCTTTCAAATAACAGTTTCAAACTGTAAATCAATGTAATTGTATTGAAAAGGTCCTTTTTTTTATTAACAAAGTATAAACAAAGTATTGAGTAATTTTAGTTGTTGTGTCTATGACATTTGAAATAAAGTTATTGTTCTGATTTACTTTATTTTATTTATCTATAATTTGTATTATAGGCAAAATGTTTTGTTAGTTTATCATGGACAATTACGACGTTCATATTGCATTCGTGCGTAGACTGGAACGAATTCGATTATTCGTGCCATAACATTGGCTCATCACCATTTTCCAACCGGCTCCAAGCATCGTGCGATCGATCATCTAGAGTCTAGACATTCCTGCTCCAGCGTTCTGATCGTAAGTAACAAACATCACCCAAGATCTCCTTCACTTAATCAGAGGATAACACTTCTTATTTTCAAAATAGGTCTTAGAATGGCCAACATTGCAAAACTGTTTACTGTGCGTGCACAAACTTTGGTCCAGGCTGCCGCCCGTCAGCCACAAGTGGCCGCCCGTTTCAGCAGCACCTGTAAGTACTCAGACACATCACACCAATGCAGATAAAGTACAAAGTCCACTTGAGCAGAACACGTTAATTAATATAAATCTATGAGCTGTGGCAAAACTATTTATTTTATTACCCAGTTTATTTCATTAGTTGTGGGCAAGCACGAAAAAAAAAACAATGATTACGTAAGTTTTGTGATATCAATTCGTTTGCCATCTCTTTCCCTCTGCAACAGCAAGCAACTATGAATTCATTAAAACCGAAGTGACTGGAGAGAAGAAAAATGTGGCTGTTATCACATTGAACCGTCCCAAGGCGTTGAATGCGCTATGCAATGGCCTGATGCAGGAGCTGTCCACCGCTCTGAAGGGCTTTGGCAAGGACGCGAATATCGCCGCCATTGTGCTGACTGGCAGCGAGAAGGCTTTTGCTGCTGGTGCAGACATCAAGGAGATGGCACCCAACACATACTCTCAGTGCATTCAGGGCAACTTCCTTAACGACTGGACAGAGGTGGCTCGCACTCAGAAGCCCATCATTGCTGCGGTCAATGGTTATGCTCTCGGCGGCGGCTGCGAGCTGGCAATGATGTGCGACATTATCTATGCTGGCGAGAAGGCCAAGTTCGGTCAGCCAGAAATTGCGCTGGGCACCATTCCCGGTGCGGGCGGCACTCAGCGCTTGACCCGTGTGGTCGGCAAGTCCAAGGCCATGGAAATGTGCCTCACTGGCAACATGATCAATGCCCAGGAGGCGGAGAAGGTTGGCCTGGTCAGCAAGGTCATTCCGGCCGATCAACTGCTGGGCGAGGCGATCAAACTGGGCGAGAAAATTGGCACCCACTCTAATTTGATTGTGCAGCTGTGCAAGGAGTCGGTCAACACCGCATATGAGACAACCCTGCAGGAGGGTCTCAAGTTTGAGCGTCGCACCTTCCATGCCACATTCTCTACGGTGAGCTGATTGATTACGTAATACTTGCTTTTTATATTTATAATTTCGTTTGCTCTTCGCAGGCTGATCGCAAAGAGGGCATGCAGGCCTTTGTGGAGAAGCGCCCGGCCAAGTTCACCAGCGAATAGATCAGAACCAAGAATTATTAATTTGAAAGCCAGCAATGCATTTATAAAATCAAACCCCGTTGTTTATACGCAATAAAAATACGTTAAATAATCTGTAATTTGTCACATAGATTATATATTCATTATTTTTGCTTATAAATCTATGTTAAAATTATGAAACAGTTAAAAACACGTTTGTACACATGAAACATGATTATCAAAATGCCAGCTCTACGATCTTATTCAAAAGGTCCTGGGAGCAGATGACTGACAACTCCCGTAAGGAGCTTGATAGGTTGTCAGTTGATCTTTGACCAAATGTGGTCATAGATCAACTGACAGCCAATCATGGCTGTCGTCATCTACATGCTCAGGGACAGATAATATTACAGGGGTGCTCTTTCCGGCATCGATGGACAGACTGAGCTAGCTTTTTGCATTTCCTTGCTTCGTGTTGTAATAAAAGTCGATAGTAGTTCTGTAGTTGCATTCGCAGCAGCTTGGCCTTCATTTCTCGAATGAGTGGCGTATCGGCTTCGGTCTTTCCCAAGTTAAACAATTTGCAGGTATTACAGGTAACACAAGTACACTGCTGATGATGTTTGGCAGGCTGCACCTCTGGTTTCCTAATATAGCGTCGAATTACCAATGGCTTCAGGGAACCTGTCATATCGCTGGGGACTCGTAGTTTCTCCAATTTAGTGGGAAATTTGCTTCTCTTTTTCATAGCTATTTTCTCATTTCTCGGTTGTTTTGTCTTCCACAACTGCCTCTGAGCCTCTTGCACAAAGTTGCGTTCGCGTTTTTTTCTGAGCGGAACATCCTCCCGAATTTCTACGAGTTTCATTAGCTCTGCTATTTGAGCCGACAGATGGGCACGCTTCTCCGCGAGCAACTGACCTGATTTACTTGAATAAAGATCAAAGCTCGATTGAAACTCAAACAACGAATCGAAATTGGCTGCCTTAACTTTTTTTTTGTCATTTGCCTGATCGGGTGTATCAATTTCGGCCTCTACATTGTGAGTTGTCCAGCTCGCGGGGCTGTCCATTTTTCGGCTACGGAAAGAGCTTGGAGACCTATTTGGTTTTACTTTAACAACTTTAAAGAATTTCTTCATGGGGCTTGAGTATCTTTTAATGCCAACTCTTTTAGGATGAGCAACGGCTTGAGGGTAACGAATTGGTGCATAAATTGAAAGTTTAAATGAATTTTGTTTCGGAAGTATATACCCTACCCATGGCGGAGGAGAAGTCACTTCCTGCTCCTCAGCTGCCAACGATTTTGAGGATGAACGACTGCTAATGACAGATGACGTACGTGGATAAATTTCTTTAGTGTATACATTTTTATCCGGAAAACGTGGCATATTTTTAGGTATATATTTTAAATTCCACTCATCGAAGGAGTCTAGGGATCCGGTAGGATGCTTTTGCTTTATCGGCCTCCGAAGCCGCCTGTATTTAATTTTCCTGATGTATCTGCTCCTTACTGAGGAACTGTCTGGCGGTCGGATTATTTCCTCATTTTTAGTTGCATGTTTGTTCGCATGCGTTTCTCGTTTTAAAAAGTGTCTGCTCTTGTTTAATTTATACTCTTCCGGCGCGTTGGCATCCACATCTTTCAACATATTTTCAAAGGTTGCAGTAAACTTGGGTTGGATACCGACCACGTCTCGCTTTTTCTTGCCCCCTTTCTTGATTGCCATTAAGTATTGACTTCTCAGTAATCGATGCTGCTCAGGCATTTCTGGATTAACATCCTGCAACATCTCCTTAAAAGTGCTAGTAAAAGCGGGTTGTATATTATCTTCGGTCTTTAAGGGGGCTTTCTTTAGTTCGGTCTTTAAGGGGGCTGGCTTTAGTTCTTTAGTATCCCTCGGTGATGCTTTAATTTTTTTCTTGTGTGGCACAGGTGTGTCAGGTACCTTAGCGTCCGTATTTTCAATCGTTTTATCAATTTTGTTGGTATGCTCGGGTTTGATTTTAAACCTTGCATGAAGCGCAGGTGCCTCCAGTTTTGCATTCTTTCGCAAACCATGTCTGCTCTTTAATAAGGCATTGAATTCAGGTACCTTAGTGCCTTGCAACATCTTTGCAAATTTTGTTGTAAACTTGGGTTGGGGTTCAATACTTCCTTGAAAGTATGAGCCAAATTTTGTTATTATGGTTTTGGGTGTTTCATTACATTGTATATTCTTCGTATTTTTCTGCGGGCAGAATTGCAATATGAGTTTCCGCTCTTGAACCATCTGTTTCCTTTTTCTGTCTGTGCTCAAGCAATACCTATCTATAATTACTTGATTTGCAGCAAGCTTTGACTCATGTTTCTGTGGTAAATGTCGCTGAGAGTGTTTGTGAATCGGCTTCTTTTCTTGGTACTTTTCCCTGTTTCGATATGTTCCAAAGGTTGTTACAATATCATCTGTTGGTGTTTTTAAATTTTTAGTATTCTTTTGCTTTAAGAACGGCTGGATAAGATGGTATTCTCGAAGGAATTCTTTCTTTTTATGCTCATATTTATTTGTCCGATTAGTTTCTGGTTCTGTTTGTGTTGTTTTCTGTTCAAAAACCTCAGGTTTCGGCTCTAATTTGGTCGGTAGCTTGGTCAGCCTTTGAGGTCTCGCCTGTTCTGGCTCCTGCAACCAACTTGGCCTAGTAGATCTTGGATTGTTTCTAAAGTTCGGCGCATAATTTTGGTAGTAAGGCGTTGTATTTGGATGCAGCGGCACAGACTCCAAGCAATTAAACACTAGGCTGCCTAGCCAACTTTGTTGTTGATGCCTCTCGTATCCACACGGCGAGCACCACTTTATTTCCTTTTTTTGTTTGCATAACAAAGGGCAACGCATTAACGCTTTGCTACTTTATATTTTTTATACACATATAATTTTTTTTAGTATATTCATTAGAAGAGAGAAAACTTATGGGCAACTCAGTTGGCGCCAAATTTGTAGGAAACGATGAAAGCGCCAAATCGCATACGAATACGATACTATCGGCAGTGTTGTAAAACTTTGGAATATTTTATTTAAACTATTTTGGACGTTTTCGAGAAGTGTTTTATACATTAATCCCAGCTTGGTAACGATAGTTAAATAGTTATCGATTGTACAAACGCTATTATCGTTTAGCAGCCTGACACACACACATGCAAGCGCACACAATGACACACTGAGAGCGAGTACAGGACGTTACATACACTTTACTGTTAGTCCTGCGCGTTGGCCGTTGTGTGAGAAAAGTAAAAGTGAAAATCAGGCCCTTGAAATTTTGTGGAATATTTATTAATAATGCATGATTAATAATATATAAATTGTGCGCGTGTCCCTTGTTTGATTTTGAATAACGTTTGCGATTTCTGTAGTTTGACGCGCGCGACTGTGTCACAGGAATTCGTGAGAACAACCAAACCTTTTGAGCTTTGCTATTTCTGGTGTGCTGTAATCTATAATTGTGATATACTACAGCATAGCACACACACACACAGAGCTTGTCAGTGTATACATGTACGGACAACCACACACATACTACCAAACCTAACGTACAAGACGCCCCCGCTTTGCCCTTGAGCTGGCATAGTAAGAAGCATTCGATTTTTCACAACAAGACGTGAGAAACGCAAAAAACCAACACACACACGACTGACTAAAGTTTGCGCAGCTCGCACGCGTTATAGAAAAAAATATAAATATACACAAAGAAATATACAACAAAAAAATTATACATATATATAAAAATATATATATATATATAGAGAGCAAGCAAGTGGTAGGCGTTAATAATGGATGTGCTTAATCAAATACTCAACATTAATGCTGGTGGCGCCTATGGCGGGGGCAAGGCGGGTGGCGCCTTCGATCCGTTGACGTTTGCCATGAAACCTCAAGTTGTCATACGCGCCCTATGCTGGGTAAGTTAAATAAAAGGGCCACCCTACCTTAAACTTGGTGACTGATGGCCTCACACAAAGGACATTTTAACATTACGTTGTCGTTGACAAAGGAGTTTTTATTAAATTACGGGTTAACGATGCTGGGGATTCCGAAACGAATAGCATTTTTATTTCCAGTTAGAGCTGTGGAATTTTAACAAGGAAGCCATTTTGTTTTTAAGATTCCTCTCACACAGATAAAAATGAATTATTATTATTACTGTTTTTATCTCTATAAATATTATTTGTGTTTCCAATACTAATACTTTTTATACTATTATTATGTTTATTATTATTGCTCTGAAAACTATGCCCTTCGGCTAGGACTATAAGACATCCATAACGTAAACCAACCTAAGATCCGAACCTGGATCTTTGGGGCAATTAATTTATTTCATATTTACCTTATTTGCAATAGCTTCTAAAAGTTGTTATACTATTAATTAGTTTATTAAGTAAAAAATCAACAATCGTGGGAATTTCGTGGATTTGTTGTTGTTGTTAATGACTGAATCGTGATTTGTTTATGCAGCTCGGTAGAGAGTAAATGTTACTTGGGGATGACTCAGAAATTAGAGCATGGTTGACAAGTGGGCCAAGTCAGAGACACAGCTGTGCTGGTGTTTGAAATAAAGGCCATTAAATATAAGCCAATGCAACGGCCACTAAATAAAGCCATTTTAATGGCCAACATGTGCGTCACAGCCAAAAGGCAAGTGCGAGAAATGCGCTTAACAGGCATTTCGAATAAGAGTTCGCTTTCATTTACGTTTAATGGCATTTTCAGCTGACGACATATACTTAATCATATATACTATATAAGTATATACGTATTTTTTGCACAGCGACAACAACTGACAGCGTGCCAAGTTTGGTCAAGGACCAGCTTTGTTATTGCAGTTGGCATTGCCTATCCCCAGGCGCGTCTTTTGCTCACTAAACTTGGCCTTCGCTTCAAATTGGGTCACAAACCTAAATGCGCGCCTGTATTGGTGTCTGTTTATGTGCGTGAGTGTGTGTGTGTGTGTGTACTTGAACTTCTGGTTTGTTGCACCTGCTCTTTAAAATCAATACATTTATTTGACTGGACGCTAAGCGGAGATGGGGTGTGCGTGTCTGCCCTATCGGATCGTGTTACGCTTTGGGGTTTTATTAAGGTTTTTTTCCATTGTTTCAGCAATAAATAATTTGATTTTGAATATTTTCCCAGCTCTTTTCTATTGTGGTCTTCGGCTGCATATCCTCCGAGGGCTGGGTCGAAAAGGATGGCAAGGAGATGTGTCTATATAATAACGATGGCATGGCCTGTAAATATGGCAATACCGTTGGCATTTTTGGCTTTCTCGCCTCCATGTACTTCATTGGCGGCGAGTTCATGTTCGAGCGCATGTCCTCGGTGAAGAGCAGAAAGCGTTACGTCATGGGCGACATGGGATTCTCGGGTGCGTAAAGTAAACTTAATAGCTTTGGTTATCTCCTGCTAATGCTTGCAATTGCAGCTGCCTGGGCATTTCTGTACTTCATCGCGTTCTTCTACTTGTGGTCCCAGTGGAGCTCGGCACCCATGCCCCCACTGGGCATTGGCGCCGGCAGCATGAAGACGGCCATTGTATTCTGCTTTTTTAGCATCTTCAGCTGGGTGAGTCGTTAGCCCAGTTGGCTTAATTGTGGACTTAATCGAGTTTATTTGCAGGCTCTGTGCGCCTTTATGGCCTATAAACGTTTTCTGATTGGCGCCGGCGACGAGTTCACCTCGGCCTTTGAGACTGATCCGGCCAACGTGGTGCACCAGCAGGCATATAGCTACTCCATGGACAACGACAATGAGCAGTACAGTGCCTCGCCATTTGGTCAGCCACAGCAGGGTTAGTTTGTTCATATTCTAGACCACATAGATTGTTTGTATATATATTTTTGAATTTTTTTGCAGGCATGGAACAACAGTCGGGCATGGAGTATCAGCAACCCACCTACTAAGCGTATCTCTTAGCAAGTTGTGCCACTCCTCCGTTGTCGACACACACATTTTTTTGGTAGTGCAAATGGCAAATAAAATTTTTACACCAACTGCAACTATAGTGCACAAGTTGGCTTAACTTAATACACCGATGTCAAGCATATACGAACAACAACAACTACAACCACAACTACAACAACAATGCCATGCATTTGCTTCAGCAAGGAATACAGTAAGCAGCAAGCCTATCTGCTCAGTTGAAAGCCCTATCCTTATACAGTATAATATTAATGATAATAATTTATAAGCTAGCCCCCTAAGTTATGTGTGCAGTTTTTGTAGTGAAAATTTGTTGCAATATATACGAGTATGATATATACACATTATAAACTAAATACTATATATATGTATATATACATATATACTATATACATATATATACTTATGCTTTAAACGTTGTTAGTTGTTTAGTATATTGTATTAAATTTTCTTGTGCAAGGCCCTGGCCCTCTATGCTCAGCTCTGGATTTGCCCTGACAGCAAAAAATGATGAAAAGACAAATACAAAAAAATACAAAAATGTTTTTTAGACAAATTTACACACGCCAACAGCAAAAGTTATATAGTAATCGATCCACACTAGTTAACTGGCAGATATCACAAAAACTGCTCAAAACATATCCATTTTACAACCAACCAAAAGACACACAAGTATTTTACACCTAATAACTCCTTCTTCTGCTTGCTCTTAAAAAATAGTTCTTTCCAATGCCCGACAGCTGCAGGACCTATGGCCAGGGTCGCTTGAATTTAGCACATATATATATATATATATATATATATATATATATAAGGAAACAATAAAACACAACGCCAAAATGTAAAAATTCTAAAATTGAATTACAGCTAATAATTGTTAAACTCTAAAATGATCCCAAGATATGAGCAAATGGGCTGAAATTAATGAGAAATCTTACAAAAGCGTTTGACTTGGGCAAATTATAATTTTGCATATGATATTAGTCTGAAAGGTGAGTCTAAGCCAGCCCAAGGCTCACCCCTTCAACTAATTTATTAAGAACCCAAGATCTTTAACCTCAGTATTCAAACATGATTCATACACTATTTACTATTAATACTAATTCGTATTAAAGTCAACAACAATTTGCTGAATTTCGCTTTCGAATCAATTCCACAGTGAAAAAAAACTGGAGGTATGCCATACGAAATATCTGGGGAATAGCTCTGAAAGTAAAGTTCGAAAACAATGTTAAATGAACGTCACATTCAAAACATTCATTTATTTATATCAAAGAATCGCAAAATAGAATAATTGGCAAAAATAATTTTGACTTTTGGCAAGAGCCCATGGGAACTGTTGACCCACATAAGAATTGTATAGTATTATAAAATAAACTATTCGTACTATACAATCGAAAATTAACCAATATCAATGAATGTAAACATATTTAAATAATACAACATAAATGTTTGTTTAGTGCAACATCAAATAATGGTAAACTATGAGAGAATTTGTTAAAAAAAAAATATATATATTATATATTTATGTATTGTATATGTAAATTGTCTAAGCCAGCTGTATGTATATGTACTATGTTGTATGTGCAAAAGGCTAAGCAAAAGTAATTAAATATTACATTTAAAATAAATGAAAAAACCGTTCATCAAAAAACCTCTATTTAAAGCCAAACCAAACAACATACAAATTTGCGGTAAATTTATTAATTATTCATGTAGAGCTCCTGAATGAAATAAAAATATTTAAACATAATCGGTACAAATTGATGCTAAATTTTAAATGTACTTGTTTGAAAATCAGTGAACAATAATTTAATAAAACCAATCCCAACTGAAAATAAAAAACCAAACATTCAATAAATTATGACACATATTTTTAAAAACCAATACAACGCCTGCAAATTATTAGTCATAAAAGCAAACGCGCCTGGAACACGCGGCAATGTGAACTGAATTGTTTATAAGCTTAGCTCTATATAAATATATATATATATAAATAATAAAACGCGTATCAGCGATAAGTATTCCCCAGGCTTGCTTGACACTTACGTGGCTTTATTGGCTTAGAGCTATTATTGCCTTACCACGATATCAATCTTCAAAATAATGCATTTGCTTGATTTTTATTTTATGCTAATTTTATCGGAAACTTAGTTTCTCAATGTTGCTCTGGTATAATTTATATATATATGAATTATTTGCTCAAAAAATACATAAAACTGATTACCTTTTTATATTGCGTAAATATTTTAAATACTTTATTTGAATATTTATAATTTTTTTATATTTATAAGAAATGTTAAGGCAAAGTAAGTTTTCAAGTATTTAAAAAATCGGGAATTGCTGTGCAAGCAGCTAATTCTTCTGTAAATAAGCTTTCTCCCATTCGTCTTGGGTTTTATCGCTGAACTCGTTAACGCCCTTCTTGTAGGTCTCCAGACCCAGATCGTAGGCGGCGTTGTGTTTCTCGATTTCGCTCAGATTCTCGCAGAATATGCTCTGACGCTTCTCCTCATCGCCGCTGCTCTGATAGTCCTTTTGGTATTTTTGCTGTTTGTTTAAGCAAAAGAAATTAAATTGATTTATATTTTTAACTGGAATGTCATCACTATAAATGTTAAAATTAACTAATGTTATTTGTACCTTATACTCAGTCCATTCAATATCGCATTTGCTATCTGAGGAATCCTGAAGAGTCGGCTGTGGCACAGGCGTCGTTGATTCTTCTATTTCAGCTTTCACGGTTATGTCGGTTGTTGTGGGTGCGGCTCCAGCTCCAGCAGCCAGGCACATACAAAGCCCACAAATGCCGAAGCAAATCACAAGCGAATTCATCCTACAATCTCGAAGTATTCCCACTTACTAAGTGTGGTTCGCATGGGCGACCCCTTTTTATAGACGCAGCGTTACGAGCGAATGCAAATGTTATGCGAGCTGACTTTCAATTAGTTCTTCCATATATTATTATAAGGTTTCAGTTTTGTCCATGTCACATAATAAATGAACTCTAAACTCGTCAACTGATAACATCCTATACATTTTGCAGTGTATATTTATTGTGTTTCTATTTAAATTCTCAATTGGTTATTATATTTATTTTAATCGTATTTTAATATGTTTTTTTGCACCCGAATTCCTCTAAAGCGATTGCTCCGATTTTGATGAAATTTGAGTTCAACTGGAATTTTTTATACCTTTTTTTCTAAAGATTTTTTGCATATCAGAACATATTAACACCAAATTTTAAATAATTCGATTTTATTTTAACAAAAACATTTCTTATTCCTTCTACAAACTATGGTAACAAAATAAATTCGTATACATGGTATTAACAAATACTTAAAGAGACTGACTAAGCCACGGCTGGCACGTGCTCACAGTATGGGATAGCTGCACTCGCTGGCAATGCCGCAGAAGCTGCCAGCATTGCGTGGAAGTCGCATGAAGCCAGCCTCGCCCCAGTTTTGTGAGTAGGAGTTCTTGATGATCCAATAGTCACGTCCGTTTTCGGTGCCGTAGCCAACGACAACGACCGAATGGTTGACCTCATCCTGATTGCACTCCTCGTCCTCATAGATACCGCCATCGTACTGTTCAAAGGATATGGCGCCGGCATTCATTGAGCAGGCCAAGGGGCCCAGCGTGGCAATCACTTGCTTCATCTTCTGCTCATCCCCCGGATCGATGCGCGCATAGTCGCGTATCTTGACAATGCTCTCGCGTGGATACGTGCCGGCCGTTTCATTTTGCCTGCACTTCATCTCCACCTGCTTGTAGGGATACTTGTTTGCCAGCGTAATGCCATGATCCCGTATATACTCAAAGCCATACTCCTGGAAGCCGCCATCACAGCCCATGTTGCCATAGTCATCAGCACAGTCCATTAAGTTTTGCGTTGACAGCGGCACCAGCACACCGGTGCGCCGAAACAGATGCCCCTCCAGAGCGCCAGTTGTCGCGAATGACCAGCACGAGCCGCAGCCAACACCCTGAAAGCCAGCCGGTGTGACGCCTCCCTTTTCACGCCAATCAAACGATTCCGGCAGGTTGTCACTTAAGGCGGTTGTGGCGGGCACAAAGTTGATGTGGCGTGCGGTCAGTTCTCTGAAAAAGGGCAAGAGAACAATAAATAATGTCTGCGGTTTCCATTCTATTATTTATAATTAAGTAATTTTACCCTCTGCTGGATCATATTTCTAAACTTTTCTCAATTCTAACCAAAACCACGCATATTTGATTAATCTTTTTTTCCCCCATAAGGATGGACTGTGTAAGAAATAATAACACACATACTCTTAAAAAACTTAGATATTTATTTCTCACTTATTTCGGTGGATTTATCGAAATTGGTGAAAAACGATCCAAGTTACATTTCTACACATATGCCATTTATATGATCTTACGTAATGATCTTATGCTAAAAAATAAAATGTATACATTTGTAAATCGATTTTCACCCATCTTCCACTCGTGTGTGTGAAAAGGGTTCGTCTGGGAGTTTGGTTTGAGCATTAAGTACACATTAGATTTACATAATTATCAGCAAAATTTAAAAATTTCTTAATATATATTTAAAAATTCAGATAGTACTTACTCGCCCTGCGTTGAGATCTTGGAGCCGAGCAGCGTGGCAACCTCCTTGCGTGTCATATCGGCGAGTGTGTTAATATTGAGGCGATAGCTGCTCACACGGCTGTTGGTTAGATCCACCAAAGACTTCTTCGCCGCGAAGATGCTCTCACGGAACTCACGCTCCCTTTCGTTCGGATACACCTTGCCTGTCTGGCGCAGAAAGTCATCAAAGTCGCGCACATTGCAGAGCCTTGGGAATGATTGCAGCTTCTGCAATGACACAGCATTTAACCAGGCCAACAGCAGCAGCAGCTGCAACGTCTCCGATTTGCACATCCACATCTAAACAGCGAAATGTCGTGTCGAGTGGGAGATGATGTAAGAGTGAAAATGGTTAAATAACAGTCACAGCAGGTGTACCAATCATCACAGTCACATATATCTTGGATTACCCTAGCGACGCGGTACTTTGCATTAAGTCATCAAGTTTACAACCCTCGAAATTTCTATAGGGAATATATTCTGAATGCACAGTTGATTGTTTTCCAAGAATAACATTTCTTCAGTTTTTATGACACGCAATCAGAGAGATAAACATTTTAACACTTGCTATCAGATTATATTTGATAATTTTTTACTAAAAGATAAGTTTTGTTTGTATTTTTTTGATGTATTTTGTTTCTATGCCGAAATATATGCGACCCAATGCTCATACTTCATCTGAATAGTTAGGATTCCTTATTAATTTATTGTAGAGGAATTTTCTTAGAAGGTAATACACAGTTCGACTTGACCATGAGTGTATTTCTCTTTTGGCTGTTCGGGCTATTTGATTTTATCATCGTGTCTTTTTTGATTAAATTAGTTTTTAATGATTGTCATTAAATTTTAACTGCGCTATCCGATTGATGTATTTCGATTTATATATTTAAAAAATTATAATATGCATAACATTTGCATATGAGCCCGCATGTGATACGTTTATTTATGTATTCGTCTCTTTCTTTTTGTGAAATTTCTGCCCTTGGCAAGTAAATCATTTCTTTTACGAATTTCACTTCAAATAATATTCCGTATAATCGGGCTTATACACATTTGCGGGTTAATCGGATTTCGATGCGGGTGAAAGGTGCTTAGTCAGAGCTGGGGACGGGGGGTCTTTCGGAAATGCCGACACGCTTGTTATTTTCATAACTATTATTAACGAAGTTTGCCCACACACACACACACACGCTTGGTCAATAAATAAATAGATGCACATTAATCACCTTTTGTAACTTTTTTGTAACTTTTTTTTATTTTTTTGCTGGCTTTCGGTTTGGACCTCTTCTCGTTTGGAGATCTTGTTAAGATGCCGTTGTCTCGGAGACTGCGAACGTTTTAAGCCGCGCTGGCGACAGACGCTGTGGTTTTATAGGCTCTGGCCCAAAGACAAATAAAAAACCTGCTCCAAACTTTGAAAATGTGATCATCTTCAAATTTCTTACCACTTTTCCGATTCGCCTTAAATTGAAATTTATTGTCAATAGATCATAGTTTTTCATAGAGTATATTGACTGTTAAATGGTTTATGCAACAAGCCTTAGAAATATTGGTAAATTAACCTAAATAATCCTATATTTACTGCCATTCTATATCTATATCTATCTACATATATTCTATGTATTTTAAAATGAATTTATTAAATGCAAAAAATATTGAAATTGTTGTACCAAATTAATTTTAAGCACTGGCATTCACAGGTAGAGCAACTTTGAGTCATTATAAACCATTTTGTAATGTTTAACATTGACATTCTTTGCTTTAATACTTTATTTTAAATAAATTATCACAATTAAAAACAGCTCTTCGCCGAGTGCCGACCACTTAATTCCCTCACATGCATATTACGTACCTAAATTATTTCTTATAACGACTCGAGCTTAAATAATGAAACAGAAGCAAAACAAATTTTCGACATATTTATTATTTATTTAATCAAATTATTAGGCATAATGAATGAATAATTAATGAAACGCTAGACGCATTCTGTCTGTAAAACATTGCTTAATGATTGATTGGCAGACTGATGGGCAAAACTTTTCAATCTGATCAAGTCACAAGCTCTGCTTAATGCAATATGTTACATATTCGGGTTTGAAGTTTCAATACCTATCGTTAGGGCATTACCACAAAAATTTGTTAATTAACTCATTTCTTGTTAATAGCCTGAATACATGCTAACTTATGCAACCAGTTTTGATGATTTACAAACTAATGCAAACTGCACTTCAATGTAACGATGTAAATCTGATGAAGGTATGCATAATCAAGCTATTCAATGTTATCTGTGCTTAGTAACTCAGGAAATGAGAAAGTTTGAGGGGAAAATAAATTTATTGGACGAATATTTTTTGAATATTTGTGTTAGTTAATTATTATACCAATTATCCATTTGTACTTTATTAAGCTAAACAGTGAGAAACATAGATTAGTTACCAAAACGATCTCCAGCTCTTATAGACTATGAGATTGATGCGATCATACCGACAGGCAATAACAATGACAGTGACAAACGAAAAAGTGTTTCCGTGTTCTTAAAAATGTGTGGATGAGTAATCGAATAGACAAAGTAGCTCAATTGACACTGTGACAAACGAAATCTTCAAAGTATTCAACATTTATAACAATATTTAGCATTAATAAATGAACAATAAAAATACACTGAACCGAATCAAATTAAACTCGCTGATTAATATTTTAAATTACATTTTGTTTACTTTTAATGTTATTTTAAAGTTAAGAAACTTTATTTATATCAATAAATTTAGCGGGAAGTACATGAAAAGGTGTTATATTTAAAATTGAATATTGGAGGATGAATCACAATTTGTATATCGAACTCATTTCTGGGAGAAACCAAAATGCCCCCGAAAACGGATGCTCCCTAAGAATACAATGCTCAAATTCCGGTAGTGGGATTTCTAGGGGAACATTTACCAAACAAAAAATGTATAATAATTAATTTCATTTACGTTTCAGTTTTTGAATCACAAAAATTTGTAAGGCACGTTAACAGTGTTTAGTTCGGCTTTGATCCTCGTGCAGATGCATTGCTTATCTGGCGAGCTAATTGTCAAGTTTTACAACATTTATGATCTTGACAATGAGCCAATAATTGCCGAGAAACGCCAATGCAGAGTTTTGAAGAATTGAGCACAACGTTAGATTGAACTAGGCCAGTGGAAATTACAAATTAACAGAGATACGAGAACCCCAACAGCAGTGGGGCGTGTAAACAGGCCACGCCCAGTTAACTAGGCAAATCGACAGACCCGAGCCATATAGACAACAACAGTACAACATATATACACCATAATTAGGCAAGTGCGAATTAAGCATTTGTGAGCCGCCAAGACCGACAGTCATGAATTTAATGCCGCATATGTAGAAATCTATTTGCACATTTCTTGCGGAATGGTGGGTCGTTTATCTATTATTTGCTTGTCTAATCATAAAGAAAGTGCATGGATGGGCGCGACTATATAAAGGTTCTGCTAATGTTCAATTCCTAACTAGTCTCTGATATATTTCGACGATGCTTAAACTGTTTCTGTTCTGTGTTTTGTGCTCTGGCGCATATGCCTACAACCATGGACAGGCCTTAATTGATTTCGAGGCATATGAAGTGAGTCTGACAGTTAACCAGCATAAGTTAATTTCACCGATGTGTCAAAGGTGCAATGGATATGGAAGTACCTATAAGAATTTGACATCCCGGTAAAACATATATCGCAGTGTTAAATAGTTTTTTCACTATATGAAAACTACGGGAAATAATAGTGCCATGAAGACTAGTTTACGGTAAAATCCAATAAGATTTAAAGTTACTGGGTCATTTTGAAAATCAAAACGGTTTATTTGTATACCCTGAACCCAATTAAAATGGGTAGAAAGGGTATATTGTATTTATGCAAGTGTATATAACAGGCAGAAGGAAGCAGCTCCGACCCAAAAAAGTATATAAATTCTTGATCAGCATCAATAACCGAGTCGATCTTGCCATGTCCGTCTGTCTGTCCGACTGTCCGTCTTTATGAACGCGTCGTTTGCACTTTATTTGAGTTCTTTTAATATAATTTATTGTGTTAAATATGTACACATAATTTGAATACAAAATTCATTTTTATTATCTCGATTTTGCCTGTTTTCCCAACACATTAAGACTTTACACTTTCTCTCGAAATAGTTATATGAAACCTTTCGCAAGAAAAGTTGCAAATTACCTTGAAATTAGAAAAGTTTTTCTAAATACAACTTAGTAAAGTTGTGCTTGGTCGATGGGTTTATTAACTGTCCCAGTCCAACAATAATAATAATATTACTATTATCCATAACGAAAATAATAAAGGCATAAGTTCCGCCCGATATATCTCCTCTTCTGTTAAGGAGATCCTCCTAAGACTAGTAGTTCAGAATAATACCTAACACTATACTTTTAATATACCTATTTTAGGCCAAATTCAATAAGACCTATGCCAACACAGCGGAGAGAAACAATGCCATGTATTATTTTAACTACCACAGAAACCAAATAGCTTCGCATAATGCGCTGGCGGATCGTAATGCCAGCAGCTACCGAGTGAAGGTGAATCAATTCTCGGACATACGATTGATAACATTTGCGGCACGTTTGCCGCAGGCTGTCTATCCCACGACTCTTGGCAATTCAACGCCCGTGCCACCGAACGAGATAGCTCCGTCCCAGTATGACATGCTGTCCGAACTTGGGATCACAGTGTCGGCACGGGATCAGGGCACCGTCTGCAGCAGCAGCTGGGCCTATGCGGCGGCCACGTCCATTCAAATCCTGAATGCCGTACAGACTTTAACCACGCTGCCGTTGAACAACTCCGCCCAGGCACTGATCGATTGCGCTGGCATGGGCACTGGCTGCACCACGCAGGTGCCACAAACGGCCTTCGACTATCTGACCCAGACAGACGCTGTTTTATTGAACGAGGACGAATATGCAGCTAACAATTCGTGGAATCATCAGGGCATGTGCTTGCCCAAGTTGGCAACGAGCAGCATCAAACTGGACTCCTATGGCACCATAGAAGATGGCGACGATGATTTGCTTATGCGCTACGTTGCCAGCCAAATCCCAGTGATTGTGGAATACAATCCCGCGACCTTTGGCTTCATGCACTACAGCAGCGGTGTCTATGTGCCGCCAGTGCGGGCCACAGCCAGCAGCTCTCAGTTCCTGGTGGTGGTCGGCTATGGACATGACACGGACAGCAATCTGGACTATTGGCTCTGCCTTAACTCATTTGGCGCCGAGTGGGGCGAAAAGGGCTTCATCAAAATCGTGCGCAGCTCCGTCCAGCCCATTGCCAAGCGAGCCATTTTCCCCAACAGCCTGGGCGCAAGCACGTCGACAACGCCATAAATTATATACTTCGAGTATATTGACATCATATTATATGCCTATGATAGTTAACATATGTTTTGCCAATTTCCTTATCTACATATATCAAATAAATTATAAATATATCGTTATTAAATTATTTTCTGCGTTCGGAATATGGATATGGAAAGAGATTTGATGAGTTTCTTAAATAAAATCTTTTATCTTTACAAATCAGTTACATATTTAATTCTTTAAAATTTTGATTTCTCTTAAATGTTGATCAAACTCTGATTGATGAATGGCAGCTGTAGACGAGAAAGTAAGGATAAGTACGGTACGCCAAAAATGTAATACCCTGTAAAGAATATTTGCCGTACGGCTTTGCCGATATATGAGAAAAATAAATATTTTGGAAAATATAATATTTTGCCATACAAAAACTAATTGTTTCACCTTTCTTTCTATAGTGTCATATAGAATAGTAGTGTAATATTGATAAGATTTGGTTTACTAGTAAGCATCATAATTTAATAAATAATTTAATAAAAGATAAGTTTGGTTAGGATATCTTAATAAACAAGAAAGTTTTTCATGCAAGAAATTAATTTTCCACCGATCGTTTATATGGCAGCTATATGATATAGTTATCCGATCCGGCCGAATACGAAGTTTTATTAACGAGCATACATTAGAATTAAAAACTAAAAGCCTAATCAGAATACAAATGTTTCTAATATCATCATCGACACGATGCAGGTATTTTATTTCCGGCCAGCTATGCCCCTATGAAATAGGCTATAGAATGTCAGGTTAATAGGGTAAAGAGATAGTTAGGGGAAATCACTGACCCGGTGGGGGAAATATAAAGCCTGTCCGACAAGCTATGCCCCTAATCATAGTTGGAAATGGTCAGTGAGTTTCCAAAGGTATCCTGAAAGCAACGATTTAGAGAATAGAGTTTTATGGAGAACAATGTGTACAATCTATTATAATCATTGCAATCTATTATAATCGTGCACGTAAGTAGAAATACTGGGGCGATAATTTATTGTGGGTCTGGAGGGAGCAGAGAATTGAAGATGCCCTAACAGAAAAGGAAAATCCATGTTGCCAATAGCTACCTCACAAGACAACGGCGAGGATTGTCCCACAGTTGGGTAAAGAGGGAAGATTAAGTTGAAGAAGCCTACTGGAGTACGGTGGTAATCGAAAATTGGGGTCCCAGCTTAAACCTCGTAAGAAAAAAAGGAGAAATGCTTTTCAATGCGAACTGTCTGGAACAGAAAGATGGCTCTATGCAAAGTTTCAAGAAGAAGGCTTTAAATATGAGAGAATAGTTGGCATAGAAACAGACATACGGACGGACGAACAGATGGCTGGACGGACGGATGGACGGACGGACGGATGGACGGACAGGTGGATGGACGGACAGGTGGATGGACGGACGGATGGACGGACGGACATGGCTATATCAACTCGTCTGTTAATGCTGATTAGAATATACATACTTTCTGGGGTCGGATTTGTCTGCTTTGATGCGTTTTTTTTATTTCATGACAATATTATAATACTCTCTACAAGGGTATTAAAATTAAAAAAAAAATTGGTTGTCTTTTAATTATAATTAATAATTCATAATTAATATGCTGAGTTGCATGTTTTGATTTGTTGATTTCCCCGGAGACTCGGGAGAGAGTTCAGTCATGCTGCGAATTAAGATTTAGTGCTTTCTTTAGCTAGTTAACTAGTTAACTGCTTAGTTATTTCAAATTTGTATAAAGCCTAGGCTTTGCAATGCTACAAGGTCTTGCGGATACAGAAAAAAAGTAGTTAAATTGAATGCAAATGTGCTAATTAAGATGTCGTAAGATGTTTCTCTCTCTCTCTCTCTCTCTCTCTCTCTCTCTCTCCCTCTCTCTCTACAAAAATCTCTTTTTAAAATAAAAGTAAAATCAAAATTCAATTCGTGTTTGATGGAACGACGTTTCCGTAATACCCTCCTATGGTAAAAATCCCCTTAAATCAATTAATTACGCATATATCTTGTTGAGCGTGCTGCATAAATCGATAAAAGAGCAACATGTTTTTTTTTTTGTTTTGTGAAAGTTTATAACTTTTTGTATTTTGTGTTTTTTTTTGTTTTTGTTTTTTATCGTTTTATTCAATTTTGTATTTAGTTTATTTATTGATTTTTCATCTACAAGCGGAGCTTTACAGACTTAAACGCTAAAAATTAACAAGTTCACATAATTTTTTGTAAATTGTTGTTTGTTTTTCTTTCGTTCAATTTTTGTTTGTTTCTGTTTTACTTCATTGTTGCATATATATATTTCTTGGGTTTGCTTAGAAACTCATAAACCAAATGTAAATTATTATTATTAACTTGACGACTCAGCCAGCGCAGACGAAACACATATAAGTTTATTATTGTTAGTTTTATTATTATTATTATTATTTTTATTAGGTATGCAACTGTGTGTGTGTGTGTGTGTGTGTTCTTCATTTGTTTAATGTTATATGTCAAATCTGTGTGTTCTTTTATTTATCGAAACGTTTTTAGGTTTAGGACTAATATGCATGTATTTATTATAGGGTTTTCTGTTCTCAGTAGATGCTGAAGATGAACCAAACTTTGTTTTTACTTTTATCTTTTTTTGTTCTCTTTTTTTTTTGTTTTATTTATTATCTTTTAGCATTCTGAGCTGCTTGTTTGTATTGTGGTTAGCATTGTGTTATAAACATATATATTGTGGAATTTCTATTCGGTTTTATTTTAGAATATCGTCACTCGTAAAGCAAAATACAATGATATGATTCACGCTGCCATTTCAATTATTATTATTTATTTTTATTTTTTGTATTATTATTTTTGCGTGTGCCTGTGTGAAGTATGTGTATGGCATGGGTTTACTCTCACTTTCTATTGTATCAAATAAAAAATGGTTTTATATTTTATAACCTTCTTTGTCTATATGTTTCTTTAAAAAGTGTATTCTCTTTCAACTAAATAGAATGCAATTAAATATATATTTTTAATTTCTTAAGTATGCACAAAATGTGTTTCTCATATATATTTATTTATTACGATACAACGGCTAGTGTTATGTTGTTTTTGTTGTTGTTTTTATGCACATTTTTATATATTTTCTTTTTCTTGCATGTAAATTAAAATTAGTTAAATTTATCTACATATGCTCACAATGTTGTTATTAGCTGTCCATATAATTCTTAATAATATTTAACTAAATAAATATCATTTTTTATAATATATGTATGTGTGTGTTTGTGTGTATAAGTATAATTGTGTATGAATTAATCAATTGTTGTATGTATTTGTGAGGTCTACACCAAATCAGGTGTTAAAATGTATTTGGTTTTGTGTTGTGTGTTGGCTAGTGTTTGTTGTTTTGTGTTGACTGTACTTTGCCTATTAGCCGTGTCTTTATATATATTATTATTTTTTTTTTTAATTTGTGCCTATCAATTTGTCAAATAAAGCACTTGAAAATTGTTTATCAAGAATTTATACTTGTTGATAAAAATAGAAAATAATAATTAACTACACGACAAAATTTTCATTTGATATTTTCTTTACTTTGGTTTTTTAGGAAGATTTTTATTATATATTTTATTTATTTATTTGTCTATTTTTATATAATTTCCTTTTTTTTTTGTATGAAGCTTAAAATGGACAAAATATGACATTTTCATAGTTTCTTATTTTTTCTTGAATGTTGTTGTTGGTTTTGTAAATAGTTTGTTTTGCTATGTTATCTGCATTTAGTTGAAATTTAAATTTTATACTATTTGCTTTACTCTGCAATGACTCATAATTTGTTTTTCAAATGATCTGGTGTCCTAGTTACTTCAAATACTATACTCTATTAATGTACTCATTGAATTGTTATTATTATTATTATTTCTTTTTTTTTTTTTTTTGATACCATATGAAGAGTTTGTTTTTAAAATTTACCTTTTAGGGTTCTTTGCTGCATGTAAATATCGCGTCTTAATAGTCGAAATGTTGTGAACTTTCTAAGGAAATTATGATTTGAAAGGATTCAGAAGTTTTCAAAATACCGAACATACATTTGCAATACATTTGAGAAACTGCAATTTGTTTAGTTAAGCTTGTTTTAGTTTTAAAGTTGGGCATGCATTTTTTTCTGTGTATTAGGCGGAGACATTTACTGGCAGTTTTTTGTTTATTTCTCTTTTTTTTGTTTGGATATACATTTATTAAAATTAATATAAAATTAAAATGAGCTTAGTGAATAAAACAATTCAACAGATTTGACCGCCCAAATAGATTTAATGCATTTTATTTTTTTTTTTCTCGTTTTACATTTACATTAAAGGTACTCTTGCATTTTTTATGAGTCCAACAAATTAAGTACAGAGTTTAGTTTTTTATTTTATTTTTTTTATGGTAATCTCTCACTTTTTACGCTTACGAACACATGTATAATTAAATTAAATTATGCAACTTAATTAACTGGCCATCGAAGTGACTTGCCATCCATTTCAGAAGTCTCAAATCTAAATGATACCAAATAATATTTAAACATAAATTGTTATTGGAAAATGCTAATAAATGGATATTTATGAGCTCTGGACTCTTATGCTGTGCCTTGTCAAGAAGAGCGCGAATCCGGCGGCCAATGCGAACAGCAGCGGCATCTGCGATTGGCCAACGGCAGTGGCTCCATTGCACAGCTCGTGGGTGCAGGCGCAGTAGGTGGCGGAGACATCGTGGGTGCCCAAACGCCTTATGCACTCCTTATCGGTGCGTTCGTCGGGTATATAGCCACAGCCGCGCACAATGCGCACCTTTCCATAAACTGAAAGTTCAATTTAATTAGCGTCTCGTTTTAAATGGAATTTGTTCTAAATAAAATTAAATATATCTACTTCGTGTTCTGATAGTGGGATTTTTATCCCCCGTAAAGTATTTTATTATTTGGATTTTAGCTATTAAAAATTGATCAAACAGGTATATTAGATGAACTAGAGGAATGGGAGATTTACCCTCCCCAGTAAGAATTTAATGGGAAATTTTATTTAAAAATAAAGTTGCCTTTCTACGCTTTCATTTTTTTAATATTTTAGATCTATTTTGCCAAATAATTTCAAATTTATTTTTTATTAATTAAGTAAATTAATTAAGTGTTACTAATTTTTTTCCACAATAATTTCAAATTGTTTTTCAAATGAAGAATATGTTATTTCCCTTTTTAATATTTTAGATATATGTATGTATATTCCCCAATATATTCACATTTATTTTTAATTGTAGAAGTTTAAAGTATTCTATTTTTTTTAATACATAAAATATACTTCGGTATATTTTTCTTAAAAAATGTCGAGCCTTTTTCTAATAATATACATTATAAATATCTTCTGCTGATTGTATATATATATATATATTTTTTTTATTTTTACGCATTGTTGAAACTTACTTTTCTGGACAGTCTTGCGGCACAGCATGGGCTTGTATTTGTCCTTCAGATGCTCCAGAGGCTCCTGTTTGCTGCAGTTGACCTCGCCGATGGAGTAGGGCTCAAAGGGATCACCGCAACGTGGATCGTACTCGCTGTTGCAGTCGTAGCACATAAGGGCAGTGGTAACTGTATGTGGCAAGAAGTGGAAGAAACAGAAGAAGAAGAAGGGACCTCAATACAAATCCATACATAATCATATCAAATTGCATTATGTGTGTGCAAAGCCACTCGCAAATGCTAGGGCTGCGTTGTCTAACAATGCAAGCAAGACGGGGGGCAGACGGTGTGGGAGGGCTCTTTGGGTGCATATGTGTGTGTGCGTTTGTGTGAGGGGCTTTGGCTTTATTTTTGCATTGCATAAACCTGAGCGCTTACCTTGTATGCAACACAGCACGCCTAACAACAGCAACGTTTTTTCCATAAAAGGCGACATTTCTGCAACTGTTGTTTTTCCTGTTATTATTGTTGTTGTTGTTGTTGTTGTTGTTGTTTTGTGTACTTTGCACTTGTGTTTCAAAATTGTTTTGTATCCAGCTCTCACTGAAAGACTCTCAATGTTTTTTCTTCTGCTTTTAGCCGAGTTAAATTATCATGTTAGCTAAAATATGTTTAAAAGAAAGGGAGATAACTTTAACTTGTTTGTTAAAATGATTTTTTCATTTAGTATTTATTACATAGTTTGATTCAAATCAAAGAATCTATATTTATATTTCATTTTAATTGATACTTTTCTTTGCTTTTTACTTGTTTCATTTTATTTGAAAACATTTTTTTCTTTAGTTTTCATATAATTTGGTTTTAGCACTTTTTATTTTGCAATATTTAATAATATAATAATTGAGCTCAACACTTTAAACTGAATAAACTAAAAACTCAACCTTTCGGCTCAACGAAAATCAGTTGACAAAAATAAATAGAACTGTGTGTGGAAAGGAAAAACAGCAAACGCAAAAGTGGGACGCATTTTTTTCAAAAATAGGCAAAACTGTTACAGTAAGCTGTGGGCGGGGACAGCGAGGGGAGGATAGAGTTGCATTGCAGGGCATTTGGTGAGCGCAGCGGCGCAATGCAGCGCAGCAGAGAGCGCGAGAGAGAGCGCTTGCGATGCTGCTCCAGTTGAGAGTAAGAGTGAGCTGAGGCGCTGCAGCTTTGATGACGTGCACACGACCCAATTAGTGGAACACAAGTTTGTGGAATCTAAATTTGAGTGCAAATCAGGCAATTCTCACTCAATTCACAGTTCGACTCGGCGACAAGCAGCAGTCAAGCGGCCATTTAATTGGATTGCAATGATTGCTGCTCTTCTCGCTGTTGTTGCTGCAGCTTTTATGTTTCCTATGTGTCATCCACCCAGCATAGGCAGCCAATGGCTTGCAATTGATTTTCCCCGTGTGCAATTGTTGCCAACTAAACCCACAGTATATAACGGGGCTTTGGGCCTTACAGCCATGCGGCGTGGGTTAGTTCTGGTGGCTTGGTAACATGCCCACACCAACAACTAGGCCAGGTGTGCTAATAAGAAGGGGGCGGGGGGAGGGGTTTAAGTGGCAGAGCTTTTTATAGTTTTGTCAGGCTAAGCATTCCATGTTGATGGGTCGCTTAGGTTACCCAAATGGACTTGTTTTGGATTACGATAATGCCATAAGATACATTTTATGCTGTAACATTTTTATGGTTTCTTAAATGGAAAAGATTTAATAAATGTTTATACAACTAATTAGCATGTTTTCTTGGGAATGCTTATGTTAACAGAAATTGAGGGGCTTGAACTTAGGCATATAAAAATTAAATTGGCAACGATAAAAAGTGACTTGTTAACGTGCTGAAGATCCTTCCAAAAGCAGACATTAATATTCAAATTATTTGTTAAATTTATGAGAGTTTCTTTTAGATGATGAACAGGGGAAAAAAGATAACTAAAAGCAGTGCACGTTCACTTGAATAATAAATGTCAAAAGGACACTCAGCTGTAATCACATAATTGCCCCATAAATGATCATAGCACAGCTTGAAGTGTGCGGCTTCCAACTGTGGCTGCCAGCGGCAGCGGACCACTGATGGAAGGAAGGGTCAGTCCATGTAACCCCCATCCGTACCACAAGTCGTATACGTAATCAGGAAAGTGCAATGCACTGAAGGAAGCCATAGGAGGCACCATACTGGCATATACTGGCACACACACAGACACACACACGGACTGACACACACTTCAGAGGCAGATATCATCGGAGCATGACTAAATGGCAAATATTACGCATACGCCTCGTTTGCGACTGAGTTAAAATTTGGGTCTCTGGCACAGAAGGCACCGCTGGCTGCAACGCTCAGGCCCGAGGCAATCAATAGGGTAGCCAACGGGGCCGTTGTCATGTCAGGCAGCCAATCCCAGCATTGTTGTTGTCGTCTTAATGGCTCACTGACATGCTTCGAATGTCGGGCAGTCAATCACAGAATTGACTCGTCCTGTTGCCAGCCAAGCGGCAGTATGTCTTGTTTCCATTATTTATCACAAATATTGTTTTATATTTATGTTGCAGCAGTACGTGCAGCACTCTGCGTGGGCGGTGCGCGGTGGACGGTGGACGGTGGGCGTTACGCGGCGCCCGGGAAAATTCAATAACTGACCTAGTTCAGTTCCCAGTTATCCCATATTTGCTGGCATGGCATGTGTCTCCGTTCTTCAGACTTTTGGCATTTCCTGCAAGGAAATGTTTTGGTTGCTTTTCCCCACTTGGGAAGGGGGAAAAGCTGTCGCTTATGTAATAGTAATAGTCATACAATTAGCAAAAGGGCTAAAGAGAATACTTTTCTTTTCCCTTTTTTTTTTCCTCTGTTCTTTTTTACTCTGGATATTGATTTAGCCATTAAAATGAAAGTGCAGTATGAGTAAAGGTGGCAGTTAATAGACGCAATAGTTGTTCTTCTTCTTCTTGGGGCAGGTGGGGCAGGTGGGCAGCTGGTGGGGGGGGGGGGTAGGGGCAGCGAAAGCCAGACAGTTTAACTAGTTGTATAATGCAAAACGTTAAAAAAAAGCATAATATATTCGTGTCAATTTCTAATTTTAGTTAAACAAACTGAAGACAAATACTTGAAAGCTTCCGATATTGAATATTATACATTTTTTCAGATTTTAAGTTTTTATCTATATTATAGATATTTGTTTATTTCTCAGACACATTTTCATCCTTTTTAATTAACATTTAGTCATATATATTTATATAATCGTTCTGCTTTTTATTTATGGTTATTTGGGTCATTTTTTGTAATCATTTTTATAGTATTTGACGTGCACTGAAAATTTGAAAGTGTTTTGTAATCACTTTTTGCACTTTTGTTCTTTCGCGTCACTTTTCGTCTCGCAGGACTTTTGGCACAATATTATATAATGCCAGTTCTTGACTGGAATTTATTTTCAAATTGGCTGCGCTTTAAGTAATATATATATATATAAGTGTGTTTTTTATTTACGTAAGAGGCGAGCACATTGAGAAAATATTTGATGACGGTGGCAAGTTGGCGCCGTTGCAAGAACCGTTGAATAGGAATGGCCTATTGTGGCTGATGCCAAATGGAAATGGAAGCGCACGAAAGTGAAAAGCACCCGAAAAGGGCTCAGTGGGTGGCAGGTGGGCGGGCGGGCGGTTGGTCGGTCGTTTTGAGCGCAAAGTTGTGGACAAGGCAAGGACGAAGCACCAAGCCAAAGCGCACAGCAAGAGAGGCAGAGCACAAGAGTCGCGCAAGGGTGGCGACAAAAGAAAAAAATACAGCAGCAGGCGGCAGAGAGTGTGAGCGTGAGAATGCGCGCCCTAAAAGGACACGGGAGAAGTAGAAAAGGAAAAAAAAATAGTTAAATCGATAACAAACGCGCCACACAAACCCCAAACGGGATTATCTAACATGGCTTAATTGCCAATTATAGTTAATTCTATATTACGCTCAAAGCATCTTTTGACACGCCAAATATTTAATCGCACATTGCAACTACCTTTGCTCGAACACACTTTGAATTCGTTATCAATTTGTGGTATTCTTTTCGATTCGGAGACGCTAAATCACTGCGATTACGCGACGCAAAACGTTGCAACCCCAAAAACGTCAAATTGCTTTCTGAGCGGCTCTGCAAAATTTTGCAGCTGTCAGCCGTCGGCGGCAGCGGCGGCGGCGGAAGCAGCAGCCGCAGCAGCGACTGGTTAGTCATATGAGAAGCGCTCACAGATCGTGCGCAGTAAATAAATACTAGTGTGTTTAATGTAAAACTATAAAAACTAAATTATTTTGTTTATTAAAATCGAACTATTAACAATACTTAAGCTGAAACCATAAAGTAACTCGTTTTGTTATTTAAATTTTATGAAAATCGTATCAATGCGCGCCATAAGTGCAACCAGTATTGCCCCATCAATGAAAAGTAAATAAATTCAGTTCTTCAGGGCTGACATAATCTTCGACCAAAATGATTGCACCTCCGCATTTTGCATTAGCGCTCGTTTCTTTGCACTCAATACTATGTTGAGTATATCAGCATTTTTGTAGCGATCACGGCCTATGTTTTTGGCGTCCGACCTTTCTGGCGATGCCTCATGATCTGCTGTCTCGTCAAATGCCTCCAAATCCGCTGCAGGGCTGGCAGTTTGTGCTGTAATTTTAATTGGTCATATGCGATTTCCTAGTTAAAAAATATCAGATTACCTTTTTTGCATTTGCTGGTCTCTGTTTTGATCTTTTCCACTCGCTTTTGATAGGGCTTGCGTTGCTTTTGCCCTTCTTTGGACTGTGCTGGAGTTGCCTTGCAGCGTTTTGTGGCAGTGGCTGCGACTGTGTCCCCAGGTGGCGTTTCTGGGCTGGAAACGGGCAGATCCTGTTGCAAGCGTCGCTTTACGTGCAGGTTTAGGCGCTCCTTAATGTTGGATTTTTCCGGCGTTCCTGGTGGTTCCAATTTAATTACTTGTAGATTTTCGGGAAAATCGGCCATCGCACAGCTGTATTTGTTTATTATTAAAAATTGCGATCTGGCAACGTTAGACAATGTGTTGGTAGGTTTTTGTAACAGGTTGTATTTCACTGTCGGTGACGTCACAAAAGCTATAAGATATTTTAAACAATTTTTACATTGCAATAAAATATAAAAAAGCATGTTTATAGAAAAAAACTAATTAGAATACATATGATAGAAAAACGTTGTTGCTATTGCCTATATTTGCATACAATATTTATTTAACACTTTTTGCTTATTTAACTGGAGACTATCGCTTTACTTTCTGTACCACATCTGCAGCGTCCTCATGCGCTTTACCTTCTTTTGCAGCTGCAAGACGCCGTACAAGAGCGCCTCCGCAGTGGGGGGGCACCCAGGTACATAGATATCGACAGGTATGATACGATCGCAGCCTCGCACAACCGAGTACGAGTAGTGGTAGTAGCCACCGCCGTTGGCGCAGCTGCCCATTGAGATGACCCAGCGGGGTTCGGGCATTTGGTCGTAGACTTTGCGCAGAGCTGGTGCCATTTTATTTGTCAGCGTGCCAGCTACGATAATAACGTCAGCTTGACGTGGGGATGCACGGAACACAACGCCGTATCGGTCCATATCATATCTGAAATAGATAATGATGATTATAGATGTGTATGCAGGTGGAATAATATTTACCGTGGGGCTGCAATGTGCATCATTTCCACGGCGCAACAAGCCAGGCCGAAGGTAAGCGGCCAGATGGAACCTTTGCGACCCCAGTTAAGCAGATCGTCTAACCTCGCCAGCGACCACTCGGCCATGCTGGCCTGCTTGGTGCCAAAAGGCGAGTAGCCCTTCTTCGGTAGGGTATTGCCAGAGTCGACAACAGGCAAGGTCTGCTGCTGGCGTGCCAGGACGGTGCCGAACGAGCCGCCGAACGCAGATTGAGTAGCTGACGCATTCGCTGGGCTGGTTGTTGCACGCAGCAACTTGGCAAACGTTGGTCCAGCAATTTGTCGCAACATTTTGTCGTTGGCCGCAGACTTTTATGTAATTTGCAAAATAAACCAGGGCTACCAGAAACTGTCTTCTTCTTGAAGAAACGTAAACAATATGAGCTAAGATAGGTGGCCAGCTGTGGTTATTCTTGGATTGGGGTGACCATTTTGTTTTGGTATTATATCGCGTGTTGGTCCACCATATTGAATTTGACTAGCCGACCATATGGCAACGCTGACCATACGTATTTAGCTAACTAATGATATCGACGGCTCCAAGAGAATTTATTAAAAAATCGTAATAAAAGTGATTAAAACCACATAAAAATATTGATAAAGTGCGCAGAAATGAACAATATAGCAAGTAATCAATAATTCAACGCTGAAAATTCGCAATAAGTACGCAAATTTTTCCACTGAAAAGTAGCAAAGAAAATACAAAAAAATTTTCGCTCGCCTCGCGTCGTCTACAGCATAGTTTAGCATTGGTATTGGTGAGCAGGCAGGCCCACACACATATAGAGCGTGCGTGTGCGAGAGCGAAAAAGGTGCTCCGCTGGCAGTGAGCATCGCTAGCAGCGAGTTTTGTGTGTTTGTTCCAGTGTGTACATGCCATATGAAAATCGAGGAAAGCAAAGGACCAACTAGAGCTTTGTATTGAGTTATGAGTGTCGCTGCAATGACTATGGACGATCAGAGACCCTTGATGAACAGTTACGATAAAATGTCTACAAAATATGATCAAAATTTACACATGATCAGCAACAGTAGCAGCAATAGCAACAGCAATAGCGGCACCGGCGGCGTGGCTGCTGGTGGTGTTGGTGGGGGTAGCGCTGGTGTTGGCGCAGTTAATAATATGGGCCCATCTGGCCCGGCATCGCCGACGCCGTCTGGCTTCGAAGAGCTGCCAACGTCGCAGCAGCAGCAGCAGCCGCATCATCATCATCACCATCATCATCATCATCATCCGACGTCAACGCAAGCGCAACAAACACAGGAGCAACAGCAACAGCAACAACAACAGCATCGACACCACCATCACCCACAACCAGAACAACAACAACCACAACAACAACCGCAGCAGCAACAGCAACAACAACAACATGATGCCGCTGTTGCCGAAGCTGCCGCCGCAGCCGAACAGCGTCGTTTGCTCGAAGGTATTAAATTATTATTTACGCATAAATATGCAAAACAAATTGTATGCATATTATATATACATGCTGTATATTATATATATATATATATAAATATATAGATATATATCAAATTATATATATATATCTCGTATGTAAACAAAAACAAGAAATCAAACAACAACAAACAGTGTACATTTGTGTAAATTGTATAATTTGTTTAGTTTCCTATTTTTTTCAACATGTTCAGTTTTCAAATGTGTTTAGGGTGCGTAAAATAACTGTTTGTGTATCAGAAAAAAATAAATATCTATCGTTATTTCGCGCACCTTAAACATTAACTGAGAGGTTGTTGCATTTTTGTAAGGCGATTTCACGGCCAAAGTTTGAGTTTTTGTGCAAAAATGCGTTTTATATGAAAAACACTAAAACAAAAAAGAACTCCACGTGTGCCTTGTTTTTTAGTTTATACAAAATCGAACTTTTGAGAATTGAAGCGAACACTCTTTGAAGACTTTCAGCGTTTTGTTTAGTTAAGTTATTTTTTTGTAATAATCAAAACAAATAGCAAGTGTTTAACCAGTGTGTGCAAATCGAACTTAAAATATAAATAATATAAAGCAATCATAGCAAATCAATGCATTAATAAAAAAGTGTTGCAAAGTGTTGTGTGCAAAGAACAGTTTAAAAAGATAGCAAAATATTTGCATAATATAAATGCGTAATAAAAAATATGAACAGTATTTAAGCAAAATTGTGTGTAACAAGTGTAAAAAATGCCAAAAGTTGATCAAATTTCTCTACTCCGTCTACGTCTTCGCCTTCGCCCTCGTCGTCGTCTCAAAAGTTTCTGCCGTGTGTACAGTTTTCGTTTTTTGGCCAATTTCGTTGCCAACGTTGCTCACGTTGTCGTTTTGTCTACGTGCCCCTGCGCGCGCGCCCCTTTCTTGCCTTACCTTCTCTCTCTCTTTCTCTATGCCTCTCCCTATTTCTTCGCACTGCCTCTCGATGCCCCCCCACACACATTCTCTTTTGTTACGCTCCAACACTGTTTACACGTCTTGAATTCTTTACGCAACAAAGCAGCTAAACAGAAGTCAAAAAATATAAATCACAAAATAAATAAAACATGCAAAATAAATGAAATGAAGAAAGAGTGCATAAAAATGGTATATAATGTATATAAAACATATATATTTGCATAATGTCAAATTCAACATAAAATATAAAAATATAAAAAATGTTTCTCTTCAGTTTTTGTGTTATTAAGCCAAGAACTTTGCTAGTGTTAAGAATATAATGCAAATCATGGCCCAAAATGAACTGAAAAAGCCAATAATAAAATTCACAAAATTAATTTAATACTTATAAATAAATAAATAACACAATAAATCGAAACAAAATTTCACAAAAAAAGAAATCTAATATATACAAATAAATAAATAAATATCGCAACAAAGCGCGGGCTAAATTATCGTGTGTTTGTGGGTGCGTGTGTGTGCGTCTTTTTGTTGTTTTTTCCAGCGACAGATAAGATAATATATATACACATGCATTTAATGGTCAAATCAAATTTATTGTAGGGCAAAAAAAGCATTAAAAATCGTTTTGCCCAGACAGGCGTCTGCGCTGATGTAGTTAATTATTTAATTGTCGCTTGTTATTTAATGGTTTATATGCCAGGGCTGGAAAACATTTGGGATATATTGCAAATCAGATTGGAAATTCGGTTTTCTTAAAAAGATTGTTTGAAAACACAAACAGCTTAAAGGAGTCATGTCCATCCACAGTGTATTATTGAATGGAAATATTTAATAAAACTAGCTGCATGCTTAAAATAAAATTCATTAAAAAAAAACCGTGCAGGGTAATTAATTTAGAGCTCCATCCCTGATTAGCATATAGGCCAAACTGTTGTTTGCGTTTGTCAATTAACACAATCACAAAGACAACACACACAAATACAAGCTCGCACACCACAAACAAATGTCTACACACGGTCCCACTCACACGTTATAACGGCGCTCGGTTTGTTTGCGTACGCAGAAATAACAAGAAAATAAAACGTAATTACCCCAGCTAAAGCAAAAAGTAGATATAAATGCATATATATAAAATAAATATAAGAAATAAATGCATATAAATAATAACTTGTGTGTTTGCACAAGAAAAATATGAAACGAAAGTCGTTGAACTTTGTTATGAGAGCTTCTGAGCTAACGAGAGAAAAAAGAGTGTTCGAAAATGCCAGAAAATAATGTTGATGTTGATGTTTGTATGAGCTTTTTGAAAGCAAAGTGCGCGCGTCGAGTTTTTTGCAAGTGTTTTTCTAAATATTTTTCAGTTTTGCAACAAAATTTTCAAACCGTTTGTTGTTTCCACAGTGTGTCTTCTCCATAAAGCAAGCAATAAGCAAAAGCAAAATCAAATGCAAATGCAAATGCAAATGTTAAATTAAGAAAGCAATATAAAAGTGCAAGCAAGTGTTGAGTAAATGTTGAGGCAAATCTCTCATGAGTCTCGCAATCTCGAAGCAAAAATTAGTGCAAGAAATAACGTGTGCAAGTGCAACGTTCGTGGCAACAACTAAATTCGACGACAGCAGCGGTAGCAGCAGCAGCAACTACGACAACAACAGCAGCTACAACAACAACAGCAAGAGCGCAACAACAACAGCCGCAACAACAGCGCAAAATAATGTCACGAACTTACACGAATGATTGCAACGCATTGGTATGATTTCGTATTAAGTTCAATTACAAAAAAAAATATATAAAAATTCTTAAAAAAAAATATGTATCTACCTACAAACTACAACCAGTATTCACATCACACCAAGTTGTGCAACCAAGTACTATATATATTGCCCTTAAAGAACTTGTAAATTTGTATCGTGGCGGAGGGGAAGCATCTGCTGATGTCTGCCTCGCCGCCCACTGACCATTGCGTTTGCTATTTGCTGCTTTTTATTCTACTCGATCGATTGTTGACTACAGCCCTGCGTCCTGGGTGCTGCGACGTTTACTAACACTATCTTTGTTTTTTGTTTTACTTTAATAAACGCGCCCGCCCCTTTAGATGAAATCGAGAGCCTCAAGTTGGAGCAGACGCGTCTGGGTCTGCAATGCGCCGACGCACAGCGACGCGAAAAGATTCTCATGCGGCGTCTGGCCAACAAGGAGCAAGAGTTTCAGGATTATGTGGTAATTTTTGACGACATCTGACAATGGCACTAGGGGTATTCATATATACACATTTCCACTCCAACACAGAGTCAAATTGCAGAGTACAAGGCACAGCAGGCACCCACAGCCTTAGCCTTGCGTACGGCTCTTCTCGATCCGGCTGTAAATTTGCTCTTTGAGCGTCTCAAAAAGGAGCTAAAGGCCACCAAGGCCAAGCTGGAGGAGACGCAAAATGAACTTTCCGCCTGGAAATTTACGCCGGACTCAAATACGGGAAAACGCCTCATGGCCAAGTGCCGTCTATTGTATCAGGAAAACGAAGAGCTGGGCAAGATGACATCCAATGGGCGACTAGCAAAGCTAGAGACTGAATTGGCAATGCAGAAAAGCTTTAGCGAGGAGGTCAAGAAATCTCAGTCAGGTATTATAATCTATTTAACACCAATATATAGATGAACATGTGTTTTTGTTCACAGAGCTCGATGACTTTCTGCAGGAGATCGATGAGGATGTGGAGGGCATGCAAAGCACTATATTGTTTTTGCAGCAAGAATTAAAGACAACGCGTGATCGCATACAGACGCTAGAAAAGGAAAATACGCAACTCCGACAGGCCAGTAGTGGCAACAGTCCAAAGGAGAGCATTGACAATGCGACAACAACACCGACGGCAGCTACAAATGGGCAAAGCACCAACAACAATGCCAATAACAGCAGCAACAACAACCCGTTTCAACAGTCCATCAGCAGCAGTGGCAGCGGCCCCAAATTGGAGACCATTGAAGAGAATGCCTGCCTGGAGACAACAGTTAACACAACAATAACAACAACACACCCTGCTGATTATTTTAACGGCAACAACAACAACGAACAACAGACTGTGGCCCCAGAGCTCATCATGCCAGCCGACGAAGGCAGCAATAGCAATGGCAGCAAAAATGGGGCAGCCGCTGCGCGCTTGGCGCGCAAACGCAACTACGAAGAGGAGAGCGCCACGTTAACTTGTGTACAGGAGACACCTACGGTGCCCGTCATGCGTGAGGTTAGTGCGCCACGTACGCTGCCACCGAAAAAGTCTAAGCTGCGTGGCATATCTACGCGACGCAGCTCACAGCTGGAGGGCGAACAAAGTCTTGGTCTGATCACACCGACGCCCCTGGTACTGGACAATGCGGTAGCTGGCATGGCCAGCGAGGAATTCGCAGCAGCTATGACGGCTGCAAATGTTCTGGATCCACCAGTTCCACTCATTGCGGAGGCAATCACCGAAGCCACACTAGCAACACCAGCACGCATTCTGACGCGACGTCGCTCCGTGCGCATGCAACAAAACGGAGGCAGCAGCATTGACTACTGAAGCAGCAGCAGAAGCAGCGGCAATGGACTTTTAAAAGGAGCGTGCTAATATTGCAAATTCTGGTAGCAGTGGATTAAATCATATATCTGCTTATGCCTAATACTAATTCGTTAATTTTTGACGTTTACTTTGTGAATTGAGATTCAAGAGAGACTTGCGGTTAATCTATACATTTGATTATATATACATAATTATTATTTTTTTTTTCATTTTATACATTTGTACTGTACAATACGTTTGTAGTTCTGTTTTTGCACACGCATGCAACATACTTATATAGAACACACTAATTATCCTTAGTAGAAGTCACTGATATACAGAAATACATACGAACATATGTATGTATGCATATATAAATATAGTATATACAACTATATACCATTTTAACAATTATGATCGCTACAAATTATCTGCGTGAGATAACAAAATTTCATCCACAATTACATAATAGAATTTATACATATTTTAAATGGCAGTTGAAAAGCTAAAGAAGATCGAACCCTAAATCGTCGTCTAGCTAAATTAGTTTTTAATTTTAAAATTAAGTCATTTTTTATAATACGAAAAAAAGTTGTATAAAATAATATAACCTATGTTAAAATAAATTGTTAAGCGTAACGAAAATTTAATAGATGTTTAGTTTTATTTTGAAGCAAGAAGTATGAAAGTTATCTAGAAAGCGAGATCTCCGGAGAGTCCATCATTTGAACGAGTTTTGAAAACATTGGACTAGCTAGAAATGCAGCTATCCTACCTTTCTAAAGGCACGAGCCACTATGGATTCGGGTTGGGTAAAAACTCTTCGGCAGCTTTGATAAATTAACCGTCCAACGCCTAAACATGAGCCAGAGCTCTCTTTGGATAAGCAAGGATCCTGCAGACTTTGCTAAGAATCGTACAACCTTAAAATTGGAATCGACGAGACATTAAGATTTTGTCAGCTAGGATGAACAGCCTTGTCAGTATAAAATAGATCCATCGATCTGCCCTATACTCCTGTCATATAAAATACTTAAAATATATCCGTTTTTTGATGAAGATTATTTTTAATTTAAGCTTGTAGATATATATAATAAGGTAATATGTGCATGGTATTCAGAGAGTCTTAAATATGCTTTAAATGGAAATATTAGAAATATTGGATATCTTATTGTTGAGTTATTGTGCATAATTTTCATTGCTATCTTGGGCCGTTTGACTGGAGCATAGCGGCATGTGACTGCACACATCGTTGGCCTTCACTTTGCTAATTAGATCCAAGGCGGCGGCACCGTAGCCATAAATAATGCTTTGGCATGGATCTCGGATAAAGTGAGGCAGATAATCACAGGTTAAAAGAATTGAATGCAGTATATGGGCACGTTTGGCTTTGGTATCTAGCAGACGCTCAAATCTAGTCACCAGAAGCTCGCATATTATGCAGAACGGTCCTTGTTCCGGCTGGACCAACTGTGAGTTCTCCAGCTTGTCCTGTGCAATGCCCACAAATGCATTGTATTCCTCCTGGCTGAAGCAGAAGTGAACTAGACGACACACTTGCTGTGGAGAAACACTGTCCAACAGATCTAAGGCTAATGGGCCAAAGCGGTCGGCGATTTCATGGCATTCCTTACGGAACATTGAGGGCAGTTGATGGCAGCTGGTCAGAATTTCCTTTATGAAATGAGCCTGCTTTTCCTTGGCATTCACGCTTGTCTTAACTTTGGATATGAACAGCTCGCAAAATATACAGACGGGGCCGTCGGCTAACTGAACCAATTCCAAGTCCTCGGACTGATATTTTTGTTCCTCGAGCATTGGCTCAGCTATTGCGGCTAGCAAACAGTTGTAAATATCGGAGAGCGGTAAATAAATGTCAAAAGGAATCCTTTTTTTATACTCACAATCTTCCTCTTTTGTAGTCGAGAAGTGGCACACGCGGATCGCCTTGCAAATTAATTCAGCTGACATATGCTTTGTCATTAAATCGACAATCTCAGCGCCATGACTGTTGACCACACTTTCGCATACATGTTGTATTTTTCCCATCCTGTGACAAACATGGCCCAAAGCCTTCGTGATTTCACCTTTGTCTTCATGGTGATGCACCATATGCTGCAAGGCCTTAATTGCCGCCTTGCAAACAGCACATTTGGGCGAGCCTTTGGATACTAGTTCAACGGCTGATAAAGGTTCTTCCAGAGGGGATGGACCAATCTCCTCTTTGAGGAGCGCATCGTTGATATCAACTACGAGTTAAAAGCTGAAGTAGGTTAGCTGTCTAAGTTTGGATATATTTGATACTAACAATTCTCGACGTACTCCTCCTGTTCCTCATCGTCAGTTTCCACTAGAGATCAAACAGTAACGGGACTGGTTAATATAGGTTTGTGGGTCGGATTATTAAATACTTACAATCTTCTACGTAGACAGACTTACTGCACATGCCAATCAACTTGCATATCTTGCGGCCCGCCGTCTTCTTTGTTATTAGATCAACAATTTGACTGCCGTGATTTTGCACCATTTTCTCGCATCTGCCCCCCAGTTTTCCCATCTTATGGCAGACTTTCTCTAAAGCTCTCGCAATACTACCACTATCTTCACCTTTGCGTATTATGTGTTGCAAAGCTTTAATCGTAGCTTTGCAGACGGCGCATTTGGGTGATCCTTTCAAGCCTACATCAGTAGTTGGCTGGGGTTCCTCCAGCTCTGCCGGATTCACCTGTTCCTCTTGCACTGCCTCATCAATTACGTCTAGTTATTCGTGAAAGAGTAAGTAGTCTCAGAGTTTTCAGAATAGCTTACTTTCTAATTACTCACAATCTTCCTCTTTTGTAGTCGAGAGGTGGCACACGCGGATCGCCTTGCAGATTAATTCAGCTGACATATGCTTTGTCATTAAATCGACAATCTCAGCGCCATGATTGTTGACCACACTTTCGCATACATGTTGTAGTTTTCCCATCCTGTGACAAACATGGCCCAAAGCCTTCGTGATTTCACCTTTGTCGTCATGGTGATGCACCATATGCTGCAAGGCCTTAATTGCCGTCTTGCAAACAGCACATTTGGGCGAGCCTTTGGATACTAGTTCAACGGCTGATAAAGGTTCTCCTAGAGGGAATAGACCCATCTGATCCTTGAGGAGCGCATCGTTGATATCAACTACGAGTTAAAAGCTGAAGTAGGTTAGCTGTCTAAGTTTGGATATATTTGATACTAACAATACTCGACGTATTCCTCCTGTTCCTCATCGTCAGCTTCCACTGGAGATCAAACAGTAACGGGTCTGGTTAATATAGTTAGGATTTGGGGTTTAATTTTTTTTAATACTTACAATCTTCTACAGAAACAGACTTCCTGCACAAGTGAATCAACTTGCATATCTTGCGGCCAGCCGTCTTCTTTGTTATTAGATCAACAATTTTATTGCCGTCCCTGTGCACTACTTTCTCGCAACGGCCGCTCAGTATTCCCATCTTATGGCAGACTTTATCTAAAGCTCTCTCAATACTACCACTATCTTCACCTTTGCGAATTATGTGCTGCACAGCTTTAATCACACGCTTGCAGATGCTGCATTTGATTGATCCTTTCAAGCCTACATCAGTAGTTAAAGGATCTTCGAGCGCGAACTGATCATCCTGCGCATCGTCGATTTCAATTTCGAACCCTTTGAAGCCAACATCAGAGGTCGGCTCGAGCTGGTAATGATCGTCTAGTTGCGCTTGAATATCAAAAACTGGCAAAGAGAAAATACATAGTTTACAAATGCATTTAATCAGTTTATCAGTTGAATATGAGTGCGTATACTTACAGTTCTCTGTCTCGTATATGAGGCACATGTTAACGGTTCTGCATATTTGCTGGCGTGGCACATTCTTCTTCATTAGATCAATGATAATATCGGCGTGCTGCTTTATCATAGTCTGGCATTCATCCGTCAGATTCTGTTTGTGTAGCACGTGACACACGCGATCCATGGCCAGTTTGATATCCTGATGATGCCTAACCATTTTATGCAGAGTCTTGAGCACCTTTTTGCAGAGGTGACACTCAACCGATTCCTTGCCCTCAATGTCAGCGGTCAATTGCAGCTGCTCGCTCTTATTAGTATCGTCAACTAGAAGTTCGACTTCCGATTCGACTGGTGTTAGTTCGAGATCATGCGGTCCAATAGGAAAACACATGCCTAACAGGGAGCATAACACTCTGGGATTCCTTGCGAAGCGCGCTATTCGATCTCCGTAGCTGTCGACCACCCCGTGACATTTATTTGACAGTTTACCCAGCTTGTTGCAGCCGCAATTCATCGCGTTCTTGAGCTTCTCATTGCTGACGTGGGAACGAACCAGACTTTTGGCAATCCTAAAAGCACTTTTGCATACGAAACATAAGGGTAGTTGCGGCTCAATACTGGATTCCAATCCGTCGTTGGAGTCAACTAAGTTCAGACTTCCTGTTTCTCCCTGCAGTTTCTTATGCTCGCGGCAGACATTGATGAACGAGCAAACGCCCTCGGCATCCAGTTGACTTTTCAAGAAACTGTAGATAACATGATAGAACTGATCTACAACCGTCAGACACTCAATCTTGAAGCCGCGCGTTTTTTTGCAGTAGCCCTCCAGCTTTTGCTTAAACTGCGCCTCAGTTGTATTTTGCAACAGGGTTTCACGCAAATGTTGCACCAATTGCTTGCACTGGCCACAGTAGAACTGATCGCTTTTGATCGCTGGAGGTGCCACCGCCTCTGGTTCAGTCTCGGTATTCGTACAGATGCTAACAGCTTGGCAAATGTCGTTCGACTGAAGATGCTGCTTTGCCAGCTCATAGAAGTCATCAAAATAGTTGGAGACAATGTTGGCGCAGGTGTCCGACAAGCTGTAAAGGCTGTAGCAGGTGTGCAGCAGATTTTCAATCATGTCCCCCCGTGTGGTGGACTCAAACTCTTCCTTATAAGCCAGCATGAGCAGGTTGCAGGTGGTGCAGGTAAGCTGATCGGGCTGATCCACATTACGACTTGCTCTGCTCGCCTCGTGCACCGCCAGATCCACATCATTCTCATCTAGACTGCCGTCCAGCGCACCTTCGTAGCTCTGCATCAGCATTTCCTTGATCCTGACGCTGTTGCATAGACCCACCACGGTGCAAATTGGCTGTTCAAATAATAATCATAATAATATGTTACTTTTGTTATTATTAATATTATTAATTTTATTGTTATTATTATGATTATAATTAGAACTGGGAACTCTGTCCTTTGGCCTGGGATTCGAACCCTGATTGTTGGTTAGTAACAATAAGATGTTATATATAAATATACTAGAATTTCCGCAGAAATTTTTTTCCACAAACACAAACAATGTCCTGATTTTGGCTATTTTTTATATAACACTCTAGCGGGTACTTAGCGGGGAAATCGGATGTATATATATATATATATATATGTTAGGATATTTGAGGGTGCCATTTTCATATGAATTTTGACCAAAAATAATGTTAGCAGACTTATATGCCAAATTGATCTAGAGCCCAAACCATCAGCTAAAGGCCTTTTGAAAATCAGTTGAGGTTTGACCGAGTTATGGGGGTGAAAAATTTTGACCTATGTCCATATAGGATACTTGAGGGTGGCATTTTTATATGAATTTAGACCACGAAGAAAGTTGTCAGATTTAGAATCCAAATTTATATAGAGACCAAACCATGAAATCGGATGAGATTTGACCGAGTTATGGGGATGGGACATTTTGGCTATATAGGATATTTGAGGGTACCATTTTTACATGAATTTGAATGAATTTAAATCAACGATCGCTCGCTTGTTAGTTCGACGCTCAGACACATGTTTATAACGTCGCGTTTGCCAAGCACACTTATATGGCTGCAATATTCGATATATCCCAATTCAGAGGCCAAAAACCTAGAGTTCACTTTCCACCCTGAAGGAAACATCAATGAAAATTTTAATTTCATGGCTCTGACCTGTTAGGCTGTGAGTTAGTTACCAATCAATCGGTCAGTCAGTACAAACACTTAGATATAGATGTATGACGTTTCTGTATGTATTGTTTTGTTACCCACCTCATGGCTCATTTGCGAAGACAGCACCTCTATCAACTCCGGCATGCTGTTCCTCATATGTGTGTTGCATTCCTTTCGCATTTTGATAAGGGGTATCTGTTGGCAGGAATCCTCAATTATCCGATTGAGTTTCACTTCGGCATTGTCGCTGGGTAGCTCACTGCGTGCCTGCTTGATAATGTCCTTACATATCTGACAGACGGCATTTTTATCCACAGGCACCGAACGCTTTTCCCAGACAGTTTGAATGCAGTGTGTTGTCGCTTGGCACTCTTTCGCATTGCTGTAGATGAAATTTAGAAAAAAAATTAAATAATTATTTAATTAAGGCTTTGTATGTATTATAGTTGCGTAATAATATAATATAATTTAATATAATATTATATTATATAGTATAATGTTATATAATATAATATAATAAAATTACAATTAAGTTAAGGATGAAGTCTACTTTTTTAAACGTAGCACGAAATACGAAGGCATTCATATCCTTGAGTAGAGATAGATATGGAAAACTCGTTTTTGATTCGGCTATCGTATCATCAATTGAAGAGAGCATGTATACATATATTCTGTATAATCTAGCTTTTGTATAGAATGTGCAATTTCTTCGATTAGCTACTATTAATGTGTGTCTTAGTGTGCTCTGGGTCATGAAATGGATTATTAATCTTAATGAGTAGGTGCATGTTATTAATTAAATGCATTAAAATGAGGGCCCAACCTCATAATTACTGTAAACCGCTACAATTAAAGGTTTTAATTTAGCTTACGATTAAGCGACTATGCGGTGAAAGCTATTGCAAAACATTGCAGAAATGATATTAATATTAACTATTAAAAACCACTGACTAACATGCAAGGTGATTCATGCGTTCAAATGTGGAGTATTAGATATATTGTACAGGACGAATACATTCAAAACAGGACTTTGACTGACGTTATTTTCAAACGAGAAAGCAACGATATCTTCCGCCGAAGATTTAATACCTTTGTATGCATTTCCCTTTTGCAGGTGAGCATATGTGAAAGTATCTTGGAATACAGATTATTTTGCCATATAAGAACCTACTCTTCGACCGATCATTCCAACATATGTACTGTCTGCAACATAAAGACGAACCTATGTAAAGTTTCAAGACGATAGCCTTAAAACTGAGAGACAACTTCGCATAGAAACAGACAGGCTGACTAACAGACCGATATGGCTATATAAACTCGACATTATGAGTTTGGATAGATCTCCTTCCATGCGTTACACATTTCATTACGCAATTATAATACCCTCTACAGGGGTATAAAAAAAATCAATTTGTTGCATCTTTGTCCTAGATAATGTGTTTAAGGCTTAGATACTTATAGCTAATTATCTGCCCTTTAAAAATGTCAAGTTGTTCTTACCTCAGATTGTCGCACAAGTTTGTAGGGTGCAGCCTGCATTTGATCCCTGCTACCGCCTCAGGAATCGTTGCGGAAACGTGAACGCCTTCAATTATAAATGGAAGTATAATAATAAAGTGCAACAAAATGGAGTACAATGACAATTTTATTAAGAAATTAAATTAAGAAAATTAATATTGAATTTTTGAGCCAAAACTGTTTAAATGCTTTAGTAAAATCAATGAAGATACTCTCCAACAAAATTGGAAGGTTCTCAGTTATATTTTATGTTCTTTATCTTATTCTCTTCAATGCAAAGGTTATCCTTAAATTATCACCGGAAATCTAAATGTGATAACTAAAGATATTGTCTTACAACTTTCACTCTCTAATACATATATAATTTAATGGACTTTAGAAATTCAAATTTTAATAGGCACAACAAAATTAAAAAAATTTTAATTCAATATATTGTATTAAATACACTTTTTGTATATTTTTTTGAACATTTTAAACAATAAAGTTTGCAATTGTTGTTACTATTACGAATCGATTGTCCACTTGATGACTCACTGTACATAAGAATTACAGCCACAAAGGCTGAGGGACCCGCGGATCGCATTGTTTTTAAATAAATTATTTACTTAATCTTTAAAACAATGCGCTTCAGTTAGCATTCCAAAAGCAACTGCACCAGAGAAGTTCAGCTGCTGTTCTTATATAGCACCGATCCTGACAAAATTAACTAAGTAGTTCATATTAGTTCTTAGTTCGAACCGATTTATCTGGCTATGCGGTTCAGTATTGTGGTTTGGGTATTACTCGTGGCGTACCCCATACAGAAATTATTTGCCCGACAAATAAAACACATACTTATACATATTTATGGTTTTTAGCACTTTTGACAAATTTGTTCATTTATTTAATTATTAATATATGCTTAATTAGTACATAAATTTCTATGTATTCAGTGTTGTTGCTTTTAAATTAAGTTTAATACCAACTGCAGTGTTTAGTGAGTGTTTTAAAGGAAGTTTTTATCTCTCGTCTCGGTCAAAATTTGCTTTATTCAGCGCTGTTGCCAGTTCCGGTTTCGTTTCCGTTTAGGGAAAACTGCGGAAGTGGAAACAGTCTTGTTTATTTAGTTTATTTTCTTTTAGTTGTTTTCTTTTAATGAAACGACTTTTTATGTTCTGATCAAAAGAGGCCTTGCGGCTTATCTACATTTTATAATATATTTTATGCGTTTTATTATAGATTGGGCGAATTAAACAAGTCTTAATTAATTAGTGGAGTGGGACAATTGTATTTAGTGGGTTTTGAATGGATCTAAATAAATAACAGATAAAAGTGTAAATATTAAATAGTAAATAACAAACTCTAGACAATCGAATGGCACGAAGGGTAGGTACACGGGCACTACAAAAATGGGAGGGACTCAAGCTTTGGGTGTGAAAATGGTATCAGAATGTGTGAGATTTTAAAGTAGCGTAAGATTTGAACTTGGAGTTTGCCTAAATGTTAAAAATTTTGGTTATGAATTGTTGCAGATTATTGGGTAAATTTCAACTAGTCAAGTATAAATTTAATTTCAATTTTTTTTTTGTTTTTCATTATTCTCATTTAAATGTTTATTTACAAGACGCTGCTGCTTCTGCTCAGTTCTGTGGCTCGTAGCTCGTATCAAGTAGTTAGTAGTATGTAATAAAAAGTTGTTATAATAGGTACTTGTGGGTTATATTAGGTATCAATCAGTATTATCATAGCTATTATTATTACTTTTGTATATATGCTTTATATAAAAACAAAGAATAGGGTTTGTTTTTTTTATTATTACTCATATTCTATGTGGTTTTTTCCTTTTACGCACGAGCTATAACGAATCTTTATAAAAGTATTTAATGCTTCGTAATGCCGAACTCTTAAATGGCCTTTGGTTTAAGTATTGTTTTCTCTTTTCATTTATATTTTTGTAGTTGTTGTTTGGGCTAAGCTAAGCAAATATACAAAAGCTACTTAAACGTATAGCATGTACCTGGCGTATATGTATTTATGTATATTTAAATGGTTCATTATTTTTGCTTTATTTATAGGTATTTTTGTTCCGTACTTTAACATAATAATTAGCTAAGTGTTACTTACAAACGTGGCCATCTTAAATTAGGTTTTAACACATTTGACACGCAAACACACACATGCATACACTTACATTTACACACACACGCACTCACACACTTAACATGGGCAGTAGTTTATATGGAACAGTGTGCGCGTTTTTCTTGCCTATTTAACAGCGAGCGGCATTTACAAAATGTTATTTATTTATTTATTTTTGTTAAATATATTTGTTGTTTTATATTTGCGAGTTGTTTAAGGCCGTTGTTGGAATTTGTAGTTAATTAGTATAATAAATACATATACATACATATTTGGTTTTGTCTATTGGAAGGTCCACAATAAAGCGCAGCGACTCGTCCATCATAGGCAGCACACACTGTTACATTTTCATAGTTAACATAAAACTTAACACACGCATTGAAAACAAATTTGGTAGCTACCTTTGCCTTACAACTAAGTTGAAAAAATTGTGGAAAAAATGAACAGCGCTCAAGCGTTTATGAGTATAGTAAAAAAATTTTAGTTCCCCTATCCCGTTTTAACTATCTTAGAATACAAAAAACATTACCAATATAGATTGCCTACGATTAGACTAAACGTATTGCGACCGCCGTTAAAGCAAGCGGCTCAGCACGTGGCTGAGCAGCAGCAGCGTGAGATTCGCATAGAAGGCGCAGCCCTTGCCGCACAACTTGATTGCACTCTCCTGCGTTAGACCAAAGAGAGATAATTATTAGCAGAGAGAACGACAATGAGCGAGAGAGTGAGTGAGTGTGTGTGACTTACATTCGCATGGCGACTGATGCAGCTCTGCGGACGCACTCGATTGAATTCGCGTGCGTGCTTGTAGCAGGAGAAGGTCTCGTTGGGCGCCAGCGGATAGTGTATAGGCTTGGGATTGACGGTCAGCACGTAGGCGACATCGCGCGGACACAGCTGATCGATGACCAACAGTATCAGATTACTGTTCGGTATGGGCAGCACCACAAATGGCCGCTCGCATGCATGCGCTGTCATATTGTAGACAACGTTGTCCTTCTCATTGTACAGCATATACAACTCGCGCTGCATGTCGCACGACTTGAGCCGCGTGCGATGCAGCGTCAGGTAGCGCAGCCAGGCTGTATTCTTTGCCCGACTGTTATCATCTGGCTCCGGCTCCGGTTCTGTGCCATTCACATCCATATACACATCATTGTAATGGGCCGTTACGCCGGGCGCCAGTCGCATCAGTTGTACAATATACCACAGCGCCGTATGCAGCAGCCATTTGCCCACGCGCAGCAGATGGAACAGCGGCTATAAAGGAACAAAAGAATGAGAGAAATTAAAGACATGTAATTCGTTATTATTAATGGAGGCTTATTAAAAAAAAAATTAATTTAATGTCTACACACCGAAAAAAAATAAATTCATAATTTTTTCAATCGAACTTCAAATATTTGCATATAAAAAAGTTGTGGCAAATTATGTGTGAACATGTTTAAAAGCTAAAGTAAACTAATTATTTGTGTTAATGATGCGGAATAATTCGTGCTTTGTTTGTGTTAACATTTTATATTCATGTATAGTATATACAGTATTAACGTGTGAAGATAATAAATAATATATTATTTTTTCGACAAGATTGATAATGAGTTGAAACAAAACCTTTTTTACGAGATAAGATAGTCTATAAGTAAATTGTACAAAAACCACAAATTCACCAAAAAATGTTCGAAAATAAAAGTCATTTCTTAAAACATTCTGTTGTATTTTAATTTTTTTTTTTGTTGAAATTGAGTAAAAAATTAATATAATAATACTTTCTATTTATATTGTACAAATTAATGTTCAATTTTAACATTATTATTTTGGTGATGAAAATATTTTCCAATAATTTTTATAAAGTTTCCAATTTGTTAATATTTAGAAATTTCATTAAAAAATTAAATTTTATATGATCGTTTCGTTGGGTTGTGGAAAATGTACGGAAATGGACATTTCTGTAGAGTTCTCTAAATCTTTAGGCTTTGATCCAATTTAAATTTAAATTTTGTAGAAAATCTTTGTAAGTCTTAAAATTTTAAAATGTATTATTTATTTTTGAGTAAGCTGAAGTTTTATAAAAAAAGTTTCAAAAACTCATAATAGTTTTATAATCGAGCAAAAAAAAAAATCGAAACAGCCAAAGTTATTAATAAAGGGCGACTGTAGTAAAGACAAATGCAGGCAGAAATTCAAGCTTTACTAGGTTGATTTGACACGCAGAGTTGCCATCTTATTTAAATGTGTGGACGCATTGGTTGTCAGTGTTGGTTAAGCTTAACTGGCACTTAGTCAAACTAACATTGAGAATATTAAAGGTACTAACGGCACTTTAACGTTTCGATAAGCCTGTGAGATTTTAAAATAGTTTTTCTATGTATGTATGTATGTCTACTTACAGAAAGCAGCGTATTGGAAGCGTTAACTTCTGTTTTCGACTCGAAACACACGGCTTGATAGTCATATACAATGACGCGCTTGTATACTCTTTCCTCCACCAGGCGCATCATGATGGCGCCATTGACCTCACCGAAAAATCTGCCAGTTTCGTGCACGCGTGAAGAGATGATCACAAAACCATTGTTGTCCAGTATATAGCAGTCCTTATCATCCACAGCACAGGCCTATAAGGGATTGCTTGCTTCATCTATATGAATATCTTAAAATTATTATAGAGCACTCACATTTCCGGTGATATTGTGAAAGAGCTTGTAGAAGGCCGAGTGTTGAAATTGGAATCCAACGACGGCAGCGGGCGCAGATTTGGAGCTTTCATTGTGAAAGATCGCGTTACTGGCAGTAACAATAATTTCCGAACCAGTCTCTGCAAGTGTCATAGAGAACAGTTAACTACAGATTCTCCAAATGTTGAAGGTTGCCAGACTTACCGCCAGCGTCGAAGGGCACGGAGTAGACAAAGCTCTCCTTTTGCACAAAATATTGATCCACTGCGCGCTTGTACCAGATCTCATCGATGGCGCGCTTATTATTCTGACTGAAGCTCTCACTGAAATGGTAGTGTTGCATATCAAGAGTGACTACTGTAACGTGTTTATGATTTACCCCACGCCCGGCTGCTCGGCCATATTCGAGTGGAACTCGTGCCAGCGTGTTAGACCACTGTGCGTGGCCAAAAAGGCGACGGTGATGCCAAATCGCTGCTTGAATTCGTGTCTGTTGGAACAGAAATCGATATATTAGAGATGTACCGATAGATGATCGATGACAACAAAACAATATAATAATTATGTATAATTATTAGTATGATATATCATATAGTAAGTTTAGACGAGTTTTTCTGTTTACCTTGGCAGCAAACCCATTAGTACGGCTATTGGGCTTGATGCGCTTACGCTAGAGAGGGTATTTGTATTGTATTTCGATTTAGACATTATGAAAGGCATTATGTTATGTGGTTCAAGAGTTCATAGATTGCAGTATTCATTTGTGGGTGCAAAAATGCATTATGAAATAGACAAACAACAACAACGATACGCAAAAGTTCGGCCATAAAATGCAAATAAAAGTGAGAAAAAAGAAAGGCGTACACACAAATTATAATGGTTAATATGTGCTGCCCCTGGTTGGGATATTGAGTTATATAATTATGGCCTGGCATGGCGTTGACTGTACTTGATGTGTGAAACAAGTCAAGCCCTGGCACTGCAAACAGTTGCTCCTTTCGCAGCGGCCACTTACCTCTTCTCATCCTTTTCGCGCGCATTGAAACTGGTGTTGTTGGAGAACCATTTGGTGACCCGTGCATCAAAGACAAGTGACTGCATTAGCTGGCGATCGCCTGTAATAAGAAAATGTCAAGCATTAGTTTGTTGCATTAGATATATTGGTAATTAGTTAAATAAAAGAGCGCTTTCATCAGCCTGTAAACATTTAACCAGCGCTTACACCAGGGCTGCAAACTTAAAAAAAAGATCGGTAGTTCGCTTCAGAGCCAACTACCTGCCCTAGCCCAGGCTTTGCTTTAAGCCTGTCATATGAATCAATGTACAATTCAATTTTAGTTTACAATTGCCCGTTGAACTAAAAGCCGTTAATGTTCTCTACTTCAAGACGGGAGCAAAAATTGGCATCTATCAAATAAGGTTAGATAAACGGGCTGGGGACTAAAATTTTGGATACATTGGACCAGGATATCCATCAAATTTTTATTTTTTGGAAAAAAACCAAAAACATGTTTTCAAAATTGGTTTGCTTTTAGTTCAGTTTTCGGTTATTTCTTGACAGTCATTTTTTTTTTAAATTTGATATCGAATCAGTTCTGCTTAAAACCAGTTTGCAGCCCTGGTTAACACCATCTCTGAGATAAATATGCAAAGTTTCCACTGTGTTGCGCAGTGAAAACATGCGTTAGGTTTGGTTTCAAATTAAACTTATAAATAACTTTAACAAGCTTTACACAAAATAATATTAATTGAAATAATTAAAAGTTTTCGTTCATGCAAGTCCATTTTTTTTTGTTCGTAATACTTTGTGCAAATTCCGCAGCTAACTGGTGGCAACATAGAGCTTCTAATAATACAAGTTGAAATCATAACTTAAGACTACATATATCAGGCATATCCGACTTCTCAGCTGCATTGGCAACCGACTTGCCAAAATTGTACTTAAATAGGTGTTAACGAAATGGAGGTGCAAGTGCAAAGTGCATAGCTCAGTTATTATTGGTGCTACTGGTGCGTGAGTGTGTGTGTGTGAGTGTGTGATCGGGGAGGAGACTTGGATGTTACAACTTGACTTGGCATTCGTTTTGGTATTCGTTACTCACAATAGTAGCTTTCTTTTTCATTGATTGATGGATAGCGGCCAGTTGATGAGTTGTTAGCTGTGAATTTGCATGGATATTGAAATCGTAATCGAAATTTGCAAGTTTCTTTTAGTTTTTGTTATCATAATTTCTTTCGAGCATAAATTGGTAAACAGAACATCAAACACAATAAGCTAAACTTAGTTCAAAAGCGTCAACAGCGGCATTTTTGTTATCAAAGCGTTTTCTAAACCCAAAAGAACAAACAAAAAAAAAGTAGTTTTATCATTTTGGGCTACTTACAAAAAATGGCCGCCGCATGCTCCGGGGGCAACGCGCTTCGACTCGATGGCCAGTGCCAACCGGGCTCAGACATACGGTCCACGAAATACAAAAGTTCAGTTTCGGGCGTTCTGAATGTCTTGTTGGTTTGCTTGCAAAAGAGCCTAAGACAAAGTAAAGAATGTCAGTTGCAATCGGCATTATAGGATTTTGGAATAAGCCTACCAATCGGGATGAATTTTCCAGCGTTTGCCATCAAAGAAGCTGCGTATATTTTTGCCCGTTATATAGGTGCGATGAATATCTTGTTCGGTGCGTGGCTCCACGCGACTCACGCCATAACGCTCAGGATAGGAAATAACAAGCGTAAATGGCGTGTTCTTAATAGCGGTCCAGTAATACTGGCGCTTGACGCGAGCCACACGTTTCTGTGGAGCATATCGAAATGGCATAAACCAAACAAATTATGTAAATGGGAATTTATACTAACCATTTCATCGAAATGATTCTTAACTAACATCCATTTGCTGCCAGTCGATTGATTGATTATAGCATCGCGTATCTAAGTGAGAGAAGCGTAAATATAGTATATATATTTTTTTTTGTATGGGGTTTTTTGATGCCTACCGTCATCAACACTGGATTAAAGTCTCTGGCGGCTCGATCGTCATCCAATAGCTCGACTTCAATCATGTCAACGCTATTGTAAGCTGGCTTTAGTATATAACCTTGGAACTGCTCAGCAAAAAGTATACATACAGTGTTGAAAAGCGTAAATATTTCAGGTATTATGTTTTCTAGTACTTACAATTGGACGAAAATCTGGATGGAATAGTACATAACCATTGTTGGTTACTATAAACGCATAACCATTCACGCCAAGCTACAGAGATATTAGTTAAAATCGATTTTTAAAGCTTTTTTACAACACTAGCACTTACCATAAACGGCGATAGCAGTTTTTTAATTTCATTGATGGGCACATCTGTGCCAGCCACGCCCAATATATTTGCAATTCTTGTCTGTGCATGAGCAAAAATTGTAAGATAAATTTAACAAATTGCTTTCTAAAGTGTTTGGATCAGAACATTTACACAAGTTGGATTTTTGAATGTTTTTTGTTTTTTTTTTTTTTTTATAGCGCAAATACAAGTACAAGTACAGAGAATTTTTATTGTTTGCATTGTTAATCAAATACTGAAAATGAATTGAATTTGAAGTTGATAAATGGCATTGCTAGTACAAAACGAAATTTTGATTCGGCCTACACTTTATGGCATTTCAGAAAAATAAAATAAAATATAATAAATAAATATAAAGAAAATTTAGAAATTATTTATGCAAATACATATGAAAAGCATTTGTTTTTACTACGCAATAACTTACGAATACAGTTAAGAAAGTTTTTTTCTTCAAATAGCAATATTTTGTTGTTGATTGATTTTCAAAATTACAAAAATTTGTAGAAAATTTTAAACTGGATTTTTAGTTTTCGACAGCGTAAGGCTAATTACATGGCATAGCAGAGTAGTACTAAGAGCGTATGAGAGCGTAAAGTGGCTGTGTAAACCGAAAGAACGCAGTGTAAACTAAAAATATATAATTAAAAAACAAATCAAAATGAGACAATTTTTAGCAAATTTTAGTTTCGTCGCTTTAGCAAAGTAGAAGAAGAAGGAGAAGAAAAAAGTAATTTACAATTTATTCGATTGAAAATTAAACTAAAAATTGAGACAAAGCTGTTTACAAAGTGTATTAGGGCGGGGAAGAGTATAGCACAAGATGTGAGTGAACGACGCACTTGGAAAGTACGAGTTTTGGGTTTGGCTTGTTTGAATGTGTGTTTCATGTAGTTGGTGTTGTTATTTTTTTTCATAGTTTTTATACCCTTCACACAGTTGCACTTGCGTTCTGTGTATATGTGAGTTTTTGTGTGCGGGAGAGCAGCGCATACCAGAGGAAACACGGCGTATACTCGCTTAACCAGTGGAAACAGAGTGTTAATGCGCTGAACTGGTGGAAACACAGTGCTAGCGCGTCGTACCAGTGGAAACACAGTGTAAATGAGTTGAGAATTGTTTGGTAGTTTGGCATTCATTTTTATGTGAAACGGAGTTTTGTTTAACTGAACCATTCCGAGTAGTTAAGAGGGTGTGAGTGAGTGTTTACCAGTTGCAGCTAGGTTGAAGTTCAACTAGACAGTTAGTAGAATTTGCGGTTGCAGTTGCCTAGGAAATTGATCGAGTGCCCGTTAACAGCAATTAGGAAAAGCTTTACACATAGAACTTAGCCTAGGATTACGAATTATAGAAAACATAAGCAATTATTTTTATATTAATATCAAGGCATTTGTTGGACAAAAGCTTAAAAGAAATGTTAAGAAAAACGTAAGTGAAGCTAAAATAATAAAAGAGGGACAATGGAAAATGGACGTGGTGGTAAAAATTAAATTTTTAGGTGGTGCTCAATTTGAAAGCAAAAGGAGTTTTCATTTCTTCAAGAACAAAATACATGCGGCACAGACGTTAATCAAAACAAACGTTAAATTTAATTTGAAAAATTGTTTGCAGTTTTAAAATTTAATTGTTTTTTTTTTCATTTGGTTGCAGTTGTTGTTGCTTAAATTTAGAAACAATTTACTCACAACTTGAAGGTTTATTTTCGCAGCCGGATTAATATCGGTCGTTAGATTAATGAGCTGTGAATTTGTATTGGTAGTTTTTAATAAATAAATCTCGAGTAACAAAAGCAACATAAATATTTCGGGTGTACACACCTAAGGGGCGCAGCTGGGAGAAAGTTAAATATTGGGTGTGGGGTGTATTAAACTAAGCTGGATACTAGGGTGCCTGCCTAACAATTGCCGTCCCTTGGGCTGGTTTTTATGAAGGGTATAAAAACTTAATCAACTTTTTAATACTGTTTCTAGTGTTGTCAATTTTTGTTGTATGTTTGCCATGTTGTTTTCTGTTTCTGTTGTTCTTGTTGTTGTTGTTGATGTTGTTGTTGATGTTGTAGTTGTTGTTGTTTCATGTGCTCTATAGGGCCTCAGCACTAGCCTAAGATTTCGAGGTATTTGTAGTTTTTCAAGTTTTCAATTCATTGTACTTACTAAACATCAATGAATACGGCACGCTAACATTAGGATTTCTATTGGGAGTATTTAACCAATTGGTCTATATACGAGTACTTTATACTATGTATTTAGGCACTAGGCCACGCGGCTTCAACCCGATATGTAGTTGTTTGTTGATCTTACGTAAAACAACAAATGTTAAATTGTACTACTCAAAATGCTAGATAAAATGTTCTATATAATGTACGATTACGTTAAGTAAGTAACTAGGCATAGCTTTATGTTAATTATGGTACGTTAACGAATATATAAAGAAAATTGTTTATATGCTATTGTGTATAATTACGTGTCATATCGTTAAATACTTTACCAATCGAATAGCAATTTTGAATATATAGAGTTCGGGGTTCATGTTTTGTTTTGATTTTGTTTTGATTTTGTTTTATATATATGTATATATATTTATATATATGTATATATATATATTTATATATTTATGTATTTTGATAGTACCTAGTACGAGTACGTGGTCAACTATAATGGCAAAAAAGTTTGCTAATAAAACAGCATGGTCCTAGACCATGTTAGCTAGAGTTATATACGAGTAGGTATAGTTAGTTATATAAGTATATCGGTTAAATATGGAATAGGTATGCATGTTATGTAGCGCAAAGTATAACAAATTGTTTACTTTAGTCATATATAAGTATATTGATATACATATATGGATATATATATATACTTGAATAATATAATTATATTGAATTCAATACGATATATGCGATTAATTGGCGTATATAAAACTTTCGCTTAAAGAGCAGTAAATACTTTTTTTTTATTATTAAATTTACTCAAATGTAAATTGGAATTGGAATTTTGTAGTTTTGTTAGAATTTGGCATTATAGTTTGTACCTCACGTGTTTGCAATTCCCAGAGTGCTTCATTTATTAAAACTTCTTCGGTGATATTCTGTGGTATAGTTGTGTATAGTTTTGATAGTAGTAGTAGTAGGTAGTTGTTGTGTGTTATATATATATAACGCATAAAATATTAATATAGTAGTAGTATATAGTGAGTTTTTATATAGATAGATTATGGGTTGGGTACTGGTTTCTTTTGTTTCTCTTTTTATATATATATGTATCGATTGCTTCGACGATGAGAAAGACGGAGAGATAGAGCGAGAGAGAGAAACAGCATAATGAACGCGCCGTTGTCTGCGATGCGACTTCGGTAAATGTCGTTTATACGATTTTGGCTAAGAATTTTGGCAGTGCTAACTGTTGATACTTGATTTTCGATTTAATTTCTGAATTCGCTCGCTCTCGGGCATAACGATTTCTACGGGCTTGACTTACCGCATTTTCGCGACGATCATAGATGGGCATCGAAACGGTGGTCATAAATTGATAGACATTGGAGTCTACTGGTTGGTTCCAGGTCTGCGTTCGAAGCGAAATGAGAAATTAAATTTGTACATATACAAATGTGATAAATATATAGTTCACCTCCTTCATGCGTCGATACTCTCGTCTGTGCATTTCGTTGGGCTCCAGCATGCGATCGTGTACTTGCCAGTATTCGAGGACATCGGCCTTTTGCTCCTCGCACTGTTTGATCTCCCACAGGTAGTCGGAGAGTTTTGTATCCTAGATAGCATTAAACGATTGAAGGCTTTTGGTTTTCGGATGTTTGTTGGTAAATGGTCCTAGACTATTACCCACCTCAAGGTCCGCATAGACCTGCGTCCATATGACCGGATGATCATGCCTACCCAATACCAGAGGTCTAGCCATAACTGGTATATAGTTTAATACCATTTCGCGCACCTCAGCTGTATCGCTGAGATGCACATAATAGCCCTGATTCTCGCATGCCATCCACCGTATATCATCCCAATTCGCCACCTCTTTGCCAATCAGATAGGTGAACACACGCACCGGCCTATAGGGCGGGTCACGCCAATTGTGCAACTGGAAGACCTCTTGATTAGTCTCGGGTGCCCCATCACCAATGATCATAATCGCTTGATTGCACTGCGCGCCGCGCGAATTAATCTTCGTCTCTTCCAATATCTCGAAGGCTTTTGTCAATGCAGCGGTATAATTGGCAATCGATTTGGGTTTAAACGATTCAATCCCTTCTTTTAGTTCACGTATGTTGCCCAGATTTGCCTGGATGAATTTCGAAGTTGTAAAACGAATTCGGTTTTGTTTTTGTTTTATGGGATTGTTGTGTTTGAAGCCGCATTGATTGAGTGTGTTTATTTTAATTTAATTTTTTTTGTGGGATAAAGAAAAATCAGATTGATAATTGAAAAATCATATGATAATTAAGGAAAAAAAATGATAGTCAAATAAAAGATATATATACTTGAATCAGTGTGTCCTCGAAACATCCGACAACTGGGCTCACTTCCTTATCAAAGGTGAAGATGTTCACAAAGTCATTTGTACCTAATGTATCGAGTATTGTATTGACAACATGCTTTGCGATATCTAGCCTCTGTCCCAACATTGAACCAGATCCATCCATTAGGATAATAATATCCTTTGGACTTGTCGCCGCCTCCATGTACCAAGAGCGTAAACGGCAATCATATAGATCAACCGGTACGTCCTTCTTCCATTTCGATGCAGGGAATTGACGCATAAAGCCTGTCGAACTGCCAAAAAATTGCCACGACAAACTTGGATCGTTTTTATAATTATCACGAAATATCTGATCCAAATTCTCCGACCATTGAATCGCTTTTATAACATCCGATGCTGAGTGTGTTATTTTTGTTGTGTGTTTGTATTCGAAGTCGTATTCATGTTCGTGTGGAGGTATTCGATGTGTGTTGCCGATGATTTGTTGTTTTGTTTTTTTAGTTGTTGTCATATTTTTTTTTGATGTCAAAGAAACGGGAAGAATTTTTATACAGAAATTGATTAGTTTTTCTTTTTGGGGATTCGAACTAAGACCTAGAAGAATATCTCTCTGGTTTCTTTTTTTAAAGGATTTATGGGGCGTTTTAAACATAGCACAAGGCAGTGCAGGCACAGGTGTGTGTGCGTGTGTTTCTGTGTGTGAGCGTGTGTGTGTGTGCTTTGTTGGCATGATCGTAGTCTTGGGCGTGGGCATGGGCGTGGGCATATTGCACGTTAGTGTTACAGTGGCTTAGTTGGGTGTTGTACGGTTTTTGGCAAAGCATTCCGCGTGTCGGCAATAAACATTCACAGCGCCACGCACGCGTCCCCAGCAACAATTCGCAACGCAACACTCGCGTTGAGGGCGGAGAAAAACAAGGGTTTTCTTAGAGATGAACACGTATACAATTTTTCAATAAGTTGAATAAGATAATAGGAAAGGACTTAATTTTCTAAATCATACTCTAGGATATTATTATATTAGGCAGAGTCTGAATTGATTTGGCATTTTGATTGTATGAAACTAATATTTGTTTTTACATACTTAAAATGTCCACTATAGCTAATTGAAAACTAACTAAACCTCTTCACATGAAATTCAATTTAGTTTTCATTCACTCTCCTTATCCATCTATTTTAAATCTCTCCTCCTTGTGCATGTGAACGCGCTCATCTCTCACTATCGGCCATTAGGTACAGTTGTGTACGCAGAATGCGGCGATGCGTTGCTTGCGTGGGCGCGCGTGCGCTTTGTGGCGCGCATTGACGCAAGCGGTTGGAAATTGAAAAAGAAAAAGAAGGCGCAACATACGAGAAAAGTTAACGGCTAACGGTTAACGGTTAACTATTAACGGTTACTAATTAGCATACACCATACGAGCGAGACAAACAGGCTTAGAGCTACGTTTAGACATCTAGAAAGAGACAGATACGCTGTGTTTTGGCAATTTGTGTGCTCGTGTGTTGAAGCTTTTACATAGACATACGACACGCAATGTGCTTAACAAAGAGAGCAACAGTTACAGTAACAGTTACATAAGTGTATATATATAGACATGAAGAGACAGATAGTTGGAGAAAGAAACAGAGAAAGAGAGAGAGAGCATAGAGAAGAGCGATAGCTGTTATGATCTTAAGCACAGTTCAAACCTCGATCAAACACATTCACCGGCACGTGCACGGAACTGACGCTGAAATTGACCGGCGTATTCTGGAACTCTGGCCTCGGCTCCAGCACCAACACCTTGGGCGGCACATAGATCAGCGGCTCGCCGATCTGATCATCCATGTCCGGTGGTGTCGTTGGAGGTGGTGGTGTCGGTTCGCCCGGCTCCGCCATCTCTTTGGCATTGTAGTACGAGAACATCTTGTCGGCCATATCATTTTGATGCGACAGAGCTGTGTTTTCAGCGGTGTCCATAATGCGCTAAAATCGATGCAGATGTTATTTATGCAGATGTTATTTATTTAATTTTGGTATAGCTGGGGGGAATTACTTACACGCACGGCGCTGACTTTGAGATCCATCATCATTTCGATTTCTTTCGCCATGGATTCGACAATTAGGCCACCCTGACGTGTCACCACTTTGGCTTCTTTGAAGCTCTGCAAATGTTTTGAGAGTGTAATTTTGTTTTATTTTGGGTTAACGTCGAGCACTATGAGTTCCCAAATGAAATGGAGGGAAATGCCTCTCAATTAAAATACTTGGAATCAGGAGTATAATATTTTTAAAGTGAAAAAAACTATATTATTTATTTATAACAAATTTTTATATTCTACCTCGTTTTATAGAGCTTACGACACCATATTTATAGGCCTCTGTATATAATAAGCAGACAAAGAAACTCTAACTTTTGAAGGTAGCTACCCACGTAATTAAATAAATAAAGTCTTTAAAGATATATCCCTGAAAAATCATAGAAAAAGTTTCAAGAACATTTAGCTCTTGTTTTCTAAATTGAACTTTTTCGCTTATTCATTCTTAATCATTTCATTAGTTTATGTAGATTTTATTGGTTCCATAATTTTGTGTATACATAAGTAGAACCCAAGACGTTTTCCCGTAATAATCCTATACAAGTTTTTCATTTTGCTGCTGTCGAAGAACAGTTATAATAAGCCATTGCCAAGGCCCTAATGGTCAGCGAACTAGGGAAAATACTTAAGTGTCTTTATGTATATACTTCCGTATGTATGCCTCATGCCACATGCCACTTGCCACATGCCACATGTCGCATTTGGCTTGGCGCCTGCAAAGCAATTTCATTAGAAAATTCAATTGCGCTGACTAAAAATAAATTACCCAGCTGTCCTACGCAGCAGCAGCAGCAGCATTTACTGACCTCATAAAAGAGACAACAACTGGTTGACCAGCAGGAGGTGGGGTGTTGTAACAAGGGCAGGGAGTGGGCTGGGTGGTGTGATGTTGTCAGCCACACCGCGTGCTTCAAACATTTTGTATATATAATTGCCTACATAGGCAGCCTTTAACCCAAATATCACGTCTCTGCTGCAGTCGCAGTCGCAGTCGCTGTTGCCGTCGCAGCTGCCGTCGCCAAACGTCAACAAAAAACAATGGGAGGGCGCACAGTGGGAAAAATCAATAGGGCGACTCACCTCTTGCACCTCCTTGCGCCTGGTGATAAAATCGCCCAATGAAAAGAGCTCCAAGCCCAGCTTGTCCGCCCAGGAGTGCACGCTATGTTGATGAATATATACAATATATATATATATATATTTGTTAGATGAAAATTAATGATGCTTTAGATCCTGAGTGAGGGTGGAGGAGGGAGGGGGGCACTCACAGATTGTAGTTGATTTTTTCGCCATTGACAGCAGGCCCACAGTTGATGAACACAAACAGAAGGCTCAGGCAGAGGCGACGCCAGGCCCAAAATGGTCTCGCCATATTGCTGTACTGGCTGCACCGATCTGGGCCGCGACATATATACGAACGAGCCTAATTTAATTGTAGCCCAATTTGCTGCACTCAATCACACACTTGCACATCTCATCTGGTTTAGGCATGCCTGCTGCCAGCACAAACATTTTCCGGAGCTACTTTTTACCACTTTTCATTCACGCACTGCACATTTTACAATAATTTCGCCAATTTTCTTGAATTTTTCTCAACTTTAGCACGCTTTTCGTTTGTGTTTTGGGAGCGTTGCGCGTGTGAAAATTCTGTAAGTCTGTAAAAAAAACTTTTCTCTGTATACTGCCGTTAGCTGGTTGACGTTTCGCTGACGTTTCTGTGTCAGCGATGAGTTCATCGCCTGGCGCACGTGCGTGCGAGCGAGACAACTGTATTGCCAGCGCTTTTGACAGACGCTGCGCTGCTCACACCATATCCTGCGCCTGCGTTGACATATGACGCGTCTGCGCTTTCGATTTGTTTACATCCGTGAGAGCTCCACAGGTGTTTGTTTACCCGCTCGTGCAGCTGCGCATTGCCCGTGTTGACGTTTGCCAGATGTGAGAGCGGGCACAGCTGAGCGTTACCTGTTGCTTCTGCTGACAGCGTTTGACAGTTGAGCACAATGCGAGGGCTACAAGTCGGACTGCGAAAAGCTTTTGTTGAGCTTAGTATTAAGGTGCCTGTGCTTTCCCTATGCCGAGCTTAAACGAAGCGCTGTTGCTTGAAACAGTCGCTTGGCGTCGCTTTTGTGAACAAATGACCAAATTTTGAAATTGCTTTTAAAAAAGTCAATTCCAAAAACATTGACGTTTTTCTTAAAGCTTTAATGATTTTTAAAAAGCGTTTCTTATTTATTTTTTATATAAATTTGATACACTGTTCATTAAATAAAAACGAGTATATTGGTTTTGTGTAATTTCATTCTTGCTTTTCACATCTCCTCTCTTAAGAAATTAATAACTACTTTTAATATTGAATTAAAATTTCAATAGTCAATATCCTGGATACAGTTTGAACGTTGCTGCATTGGGTTTACAGTCTTAGAGTCAGAAACCCAATAATCATGAGCATTTAAACCACTTTTACATTGAATTCTTCAGTTAAAATGTTTCCATATCCTTATTATTATATGTAAAATGATATAATAATGTTTATAAAAAATTATCAATAGTTTTTATTTGTATACCATAAAGTTTAGACATTTCTCATGGAATTCACAACAAGATAATGACGACAGACATAACTCAAAACGCGATACGGACCGAGCTCTGCTCTCTCTAGTACTTGTAGCCACCGGCGGCACCGCCGCCGCCACCACCGCGTCCACCAGCAGCTGGTCCCTGCGGGAACTGGGCCTCTCCCTCGTAACTGACGTCCGCATGGTAGCCAGTCTTCCAGTCGGCCGTGTAGCGCACCACCTGAGTGCGTCCGTCGGGCAGCTGGACTCGATACTCGCCGGTCACCACGTCGCCGTCACTGGATGCCTTGTGCGCATAGTCGTTGGCCGTCTCCGGATCCTGGACAGCGTACTCAAAGTCGAATGGCATGCCGGGCACGTGCACATGATCCTGCACGAGCATACATAATTGATGATCAATTGGAGTAAAGGAGTTGGGGTTGGATATTATTGAGTTAAAGATGTACTTACGTCGGCGGGTTGACCGGGAATGCGTGGGGGAGATGGTGGTGGACGTGGACCGGTACCGGGCGTAGGTCTACCAGGCGTGCCGGGTTTCTGCAAGTGTAAACAATGTTAGGTAAACAATGTTAGTTTGTACTAGATTAAAAGGCTTTAAAAAAGGTTTTTCCTAAAACAGCCTAAAGTAATAATTTTCTATTATTAACAAAATTCTTAAAACATTTTCTCTATATCAAATATTGGGTTGTTATATGAAAGATTGCATTATAAAAAGAAGCAAATACAAAAATTAAAAGAAGTTAACAAGCATTGCAAAAGTGTCATGTAAGACTCCTACTAAAAATTTGAAAACATAAAGGTTCTAAATATTACTTTCAAATTGATTCTAAGTTTTAGGGAAGGACGCATTTTTTATAGAATTTGTAGTAATATTAACAGAGCTTTCTGTCTAGTTTGACTGACTCGCCCTTTTGCCCCTTTAATAACTCCTTGTCGCTTATTTGGAAAAGTTTTACGGCCAACTCTCAAAGGTGACTGCTCTTACTTTCGCAACTGCATTTTATTTAATGCACTGCAATCAATTGTTTTGGCTTATAACTGCAACTCGGCCAAAAGCATCTTCGTTATGAAAGCAAAAAAAAATTGAAAAAAAATGTTAACTCATTCCTGTCTTTGGCCAAGTTGTGATTTGATGTCTGTGGTTATGCCCACGCCCCCATGGAAAAGGCTGTCAGTTGACAAATGCAACATCATTTGAGTAGACATTCAAATTGAAGAGCGCTGTCTCCTTCACAACGTCTATCTCCGTCTCTGTCTCTGTCTCTGTCTCTGTGTGCTGCAGCCAAAGGTGACGGCGGCATGACTCTGAACATTTATGGAGTAAAGTGTTGACGGCCTGTGAATGCATTGAGTCTTCGGCCTGACTGATGAATGTGGCGACAGACAGTTGGACAGGCAGACAGCCGGACAGGTTGTTGGAAAAGCGGCTTAACAGCCAGAGGCCAGGTTAAAAGCCGAGTGAGGGGCTCGTGAAAATTATGGCCATAATTAGCCATTGACTTTAATTCAATTTGCGGCTTGGTTGGCTGCATTTTTGCGGCTGTTTGTTGATTGTTGGCCCAGTGCGGCATACTCACGAATGGCTGATTGGGCTCTGGATAGTCATATCCGTTCTTGGTGGGCGGCAAATACGCATTCGAGCCGGGCGCTACCTGGGCGTAAGCGTAGGCGGTGATGGCAGCAAGTGATAAACTCTGCAAAACAAAAAAAGGAAAAACCAAGCAAATTTTAAAATTGTAATAAAAACAAACAAAGACTTGGCATTTATAAGCATTAAAATAAAAGCGCTAAAAAAGGTTATATTAGAAAAAAAAGTGAGCGGTAAACAAAAATAGAAGCCGCGATAAGATCGCAACTGACATTCAGCTGCGGCAGTCGCAGCCGCCGTCTTGCTCTGGGGCAGGTGCACAAAACCAAAGCAAATGCTGTCTGGTTGCGGTTGACTCGTATTTAGAATGCGCGGCCCACTGGAAAGGGCAACAAATGGCGGAGGTTAGAAGCTGACAATTAAGGCGGACTCACAAATTTATGGCTGCAGCTAACTGAAAACGTCAGCTGCTGCTTCATCCTCTGTTTTTTTTTTGGTCCAAACATGGCTAATTGACACATGCAACTCGGTCTGCCACAGCCATCCATCAACTCGGCCAACTTGGCCAGCTCAAATGCTGGCCAGCTGTCAGACTTATAACTAGCTGCTGGCCTCTTGTTAGCTGCCTGTCGTTGTTTTCAATTTGCATTTGTTAACTGCAACTTTGGTTGCGGATTGTGGATTGCGGAAATGTTTTGCCCCCCCCCGGTTGCAACTGCAACGTCTCTATGTAATGCTTGCAGGTATTCTATGTAAAAATAGAAATATGCTTAGCTATTGATCATTGTCACAGCCTGTTCTCTGGCCATGGCCAATGCCAAAGTCAACGGCAAAATGCTTTAAATGATTTGCTGATTTTTAAATTGCGCATACGCCGCGTGCACCGGTGCAAACAGTTTTCAGCTGCGTTTTGCTGAGCTTAAATTGAACTATTAGTTATTTACAATTTGTATTTATTATTTATGTGCATAGCTAACTGATTTATAAATGTTGCACGCTTATTTAATATATATATATATATCTATTTTTTCAATTTAAGTCTAGGCAAGTGAAGAGTTTTGTTTTCAAAGCATTTGTATTTCAATTGCATTTTCTTTTGTTCTTTTAATCGACTAAAACAGTTTATAAATTTAACGTTTGATTTAATTTAATAAATCAACTAAATTCCCTCAATTACTCGAACATGCAGCACAGTGTGTGGTCCCAACCTTCAACGAGGAGCCCAAGTTAAAGGCAATAAGCATGTCAACAGCAATTTTAGCATGTTAAACAAATGCAATTACAGTTAGCCGAAGCCCAAAAAAAAAAACAAAAAAACATTGTCTGCACTTCCCTTTGACTGCAATACGAAGAAAAGAAACAAATAATTTACGTGTAAATTAAATATAAAGGCAAAGTCAAAGCGCGGCCAACAAATTGCCGCAACAGCCGACGACAGCCCAAATCGAATGCTGCATAAAACGATCAACGATAAAGATGTACAAAAGAGAGAGACAGATAAAGATTGAGATCGATAAAGCCTTGCATTTAACTGCATACCAAACAAAAGCAACAACAGCTGAAAATCAAGTTACATCTTCGTGCTTGCTGATGGAGAATTGAATTACAGTGGGGCAAGAGCTGCAGAAATTTGCAAAAAGTACTAAAGTGAGTTTGCAGTTTATGTAAGTATTTGTTTGAGGAAATACTTTGATTATTTATTTTCATTTATTTCGAATTTGCTGTGAATATTTGTTAATAATATGACATTGGTGCGGTTCTATTAGTTGATTGACTAGAATATATGACAAAAGAACTATTTTTTTGAAGAATAAAGTTAAATTAAATATAACTTTATCTCTTTGCTCATCGTGTAAATCATAATAAACATATTTAGATGTGTATACATTTTAGGTTACACAAATTATTAACTTCCAACATTTGTAATAGTTTTGAATATTTCAAAAATTATGAAAACATTTTCCTAATATAAATAATATATATATTGTATATATATAATATAAATTATCTATACGTGCCTACATGTTTTCATGGCTATATACCACAGTGCATCATGAGCCGTTGAGCTGTGGTGTGGTTTAGGTCTTTGCTAAATTCTGTTCACAGCTCTAATTGTACCCAGTTGAAGGTTCGTATTGGATTTGTGGTCTAGGTTTGCCATGGTTTGTGGCTATCTCACACCTTGGCGCTGAGGTTTTTAGAACTTTGGACATTGATCTTGCGAATTGTAAGTATCTTTAAATGACTTCAAGCAAACGTTTAGCATATTTATGCACATCAAATATTTTATGTATTAATCATTTAAAGTAACTGCCAGACATAATGCACGAGCCGGCTCGCATTGAAATATCATTAATCGCGCATAATCTAATAAATATCAATTGTTCGCTTTGTGCGGCTTTGTACGTGCATTACTGTTATTATGTTTTGGCATTATTTATTAAATTTTTTTTCCATTTTTTTTGCCACATGCTGTGTTGGTAATTACATTTATAAGCCTTTTGATTTTTACATTATTTATTGTGTATAATCAACAAGTGTTTCGTTAAACATTTTCATTATTAATCAGCCCAATCAGCGGAAGTAAACTTGGTCAGCAAATTGTGCATTGTTCGCTTCAACATAAGCAAAATAAATAAATAAAAATTAAAATTAAAAAAAAAAAGATTGAATTTATCTTCAATTCCAGCAAACTAGCTCGTGTTGCATGTCGCACACGCCCACATTGTCAGCGGCGCGTCAAGTTGAAGGCCGAGCGGGCAAAAAACAAAAAACAGAAAACACAATGAAAATTGTTGAAATTAATTACAGGTAGGCAGTAGGTGAGACACGTTCGATGGCTCTGCCACTTCATGGTTTTGATTCTATTGCCATTTTCGGGCAATTAACACACAAGGAAAGACACGAGTTTGAACTTGTGGCGAATTTCTGGCTGGCGCTCCAAAATATATGGACTGTTAAATTATAGTGTGAGTAACTGATAATTAAAATAGTAATTTAAAAAAAAGCTAGTTATAAATGTGTATTTCATTGTTTGACCAAAGTTGTTAATCGTTATTGAAAAGCGAATTAATCTTCATTAGAAATTTTAAGAGATATTTTTTGTGTGTGGCTGATTAATTAGTTAAGCTTTTTAATAAGATATTTTTTTGGTTTAAAATATATTTATTTTTATTTGTGATCAATCATGATTTGGTCGAAACATCCTTTTTAATGATTATGCTAAAACATATTTGTTGTTGTCATTATCTAAGTTTGGCTTGCTTGTTGTTTAACATCAAATCGACAGACATTTAACATGCAAAAAACTGAAAAATAAAAAACTACTCAGAATATCATAAAAGAGTTAAGTTCACGCTGAGCTGATCACGAGTATCACAAAAACGGTTTGAATATCTGCACATTTGTCTCGCTCTGGCTCCACACTTGATCACGACCCAGTTTAAAGCGCGACGTCAAGCTAAGAGTATGCTACTTAAACTAGAGAACTATTAAAAATAAATAATAAAAGTGCATAAAAATATATGACAATTGCATATTGGCAGCGACTTGCGGCTAAATGGCAAACTTGGCTGGCAAATTGATTTATGTGCGGCTAACATTTAATATATATATCTATAGATATACAAATACACATAACGAATATGTGTGAAAAGAACTGCGATTGGCCGAGATGGCCAGATTTATGTTGGCAATAAAATTGTTGGCAATAAAATGTCTTCATAAAAATGAGTTTAGCCAAGTTGCAGGGATGCACAGCAAGCATTTAAAATAATTGATTTAATTGGCCATTCGATTGTATCTCATGACATTTGCCAGATATTTCCCATTCAGCTTGTTGGACTAACTAAAGCTTTTACTTGTACTGCCTGTTTATTAACTGTTATTAAGTCATCAGCAGCCCGAGTTGCGGCACTTGCCTTAATTTTGAGCGGCACCCTAGACAACATTCTGCAACGCCCACGTACACAGATTTAAACATGGCGATGATGATGATGATGGCGATGACGATGACGAAGAGGATGACGATGGCGTGCCTAACGAGCTCTTGGCCCGGCTCTTGGGTCTGGCTCTTTTTTCTATAAATATGCGGCTGCATACATACATATGTGTGTAAATTTATGGAATTCGCAACGTTCCCAGCAATTAAGCAAGTTACCAAAGTTTGTTTTTGGTGCAACCAGCAGCAGCGAGTGAAGAAAAAACAAACTCCTCTACATTGATGTCAGATAGCGCATTAGCATTAGTACAACAGCTGCCACATACACTTGCAACTAACAGCTTGCAACTTGCAACATGCACGACACTCGCCTGCTCGCTCAGTAGAACAACAAACATTTGGCTGACCTTTTCATCGTTTGTTGCATGTTGCAGCGTTTTTTTGGTGTTTTTTCATTTTTTTTGCCCCCACTTTGGGGCATTGAAATGCAAATTTGGCCAAATAAAAGTTAATGGGCCATGTGAATGGCAACAAAAAACCAAGAAAAAAAACCGCAACAGCCTCCTTCTTCTCCTTCTGCTCGTGAGTATGTGCAATGGGAAATGACTTTTATTGCCTTGTTTCTTTTTTTCGGCTGTTTTTTTATTTTATGTTGTTTTTTTTGCGAAGTTTGTTGTTTAAGTCTTTTGTTTTGGCCTCAGCTGCGATTTCAATCAACAAATTTATTTTTTTTCACTTTGCGCAATTTGCTCGCGTGCTGACTCCAGTTGCAGTTGATTGGCGAAAAAAAGTAGCGAAAACAAAAAAATGCTGCAGTCGGCAGGAGGCACGAGATAAATTCCATGCCAAGGACAATGCCAAAGATCAAAGGCTGTGGCTTTGGCGCGCGTCTGCCGCACGAATCTGGCCAGGCTCCCTTTGGATCACAGCAGAGTTCACTGCGACTTTATGCTCGAATATGTGTGTTTGCTTCTGGGAGCGGGCATCTTATATGTGGCAAGCGTGGAATCGCAGCAATTGGCGGCTTGCTTTGAAGTCAAAGTTTTGGCCGAGGTGAAGAAGATTTATGACAATCTTTTGGCATTCTCTTCTTTATTTCTAAAGATCAGCCGAATGCTGGATAAGTATTTGTGAATTATCACAAATTATATTGAATTTTTATAATT